ACGTAAGTGGTTGGTTATCGGGCTCAGCGCTGTAGAACCGAATGCAATTTGACATTCATTTTCACATTTCAATGGGGTGTATATGGACACAGACTTTTAATTTTCAGTCAGCCAGCTCAAACGCTTCTGGTTAACTGTCGTGCCAATACAAAATTGCAGCATTTAAGATCTGGATTTTCTTGTTGTTGTTGTTGTTGTTGTTGTTGTTGTTGTTGTTGTTGTTGTTGTTGTCTGCATCCAGACCCTTCTCCGTTTTTAAGCTAATTATTGAATATATAAAAGCCTAATGTACAACAACTTGACATTATGATTATCTTCAAATTACAAAAATTAACAGGTGCAATTAAGGAACAAATTACATACACAAATAATACATTAAAAATAAGTAAAATAATAAATAAATATCATAAAATAAATTAAGGGGGGCGGTGACGCAGTGCATAGCATGATCCCCTCAAAGGTCACTGGTTCAAGCCCCAGCTGGATCACTTGGCATTTCTGTGTGTAGTTTGCATTCTCTCCCCATGTTTGTATGGGTTTCCTCCGGGTGCTCTGGTTTCCCCCACAAAGACATCTATAGGTGCAATATAAGCTAAATTGGCTGAAGTGTATATGTGTAAGGACTGAATGAAACTACTGTTCCGCACCATGTGTTTAAAATATGGACATTTATTTTACTACAGTATTTTCACAGTACGTTTTTAGTTAAATTGTCTTTCATCTCGTCTTTCAACAACTAAACGATATTGCTTAAGTCTGTTAACTGCTTATATTTAAATTAAATTACATTATTTATGCTGTAAAAGTAAACCTAGTAAATTGAAAGTCACATTAACCTTTCACCGGAAGTTTAACAGTAGCAGAAAAACACTAGCTGTGGCTATAGCCCATGTAGTTTATTGTACAAGGGGGTTTTATTTCATCTTTTCTCGAATTTCTGAAGCATTTTCTTTAATTTTAGTGATATTTTCCGACCATGGGAAGGGAACATGTCACACTTTTTATATGTTTTGAGACCTACATTTGTTTTTACATTACTGAAACTACACGGAAACTACATCTCGCATCATTCCATCAAAGAAAATGCTTCCTCAAAAGCAAACCCAAACAAACATGTGTGATGCGATTAAATATGCAAGGCCATATATGCTAATTATTCAATAATTAATAAGGGCTGTGGATGTTTCCCTCATGCATTAATTACATCAGCATTAGCATATCAATTAGATGAATCAGAGATCATGTAATTAAAGCCCAAGTAGGAGCACCTGCTGCCTCTGTTTATGTTTATGTGCATATGTTTGTGTATGTGATAGCATGCTTTTGGCTGAGGATACACTTGTCAATCAATTGCCTCTGAGTTCTTGCCTCTTATGGAATGGGTTTGTGTTTAAACATTTTCAATTAGTTAATTTTCCTTCCTCGTTATTTCAAGAGTCGAGGCACCAAGTAGTCTATAAGTATATTTTAATAAGTACGTTTAACTTAAAATACCACAATCATTTTGCGAATTAAACTATTTACAATACAGCTTCGGCAAGGCAGTGGCGCATTAGGTAGTGCTGTTGCCTCACAGCAAGAAGGTCGCTGGTTCGAACCTCGGCTCAGTTGGTGTTTCTGTGTGGAGTTTGTTCTCCCTGCCTTCGCATGGGTTTCCTCCAGGTGCTTCTGTTTCCCCCACAGTCCAAAGACATGCGGTACAGGTGAATTAGGTGAGCTAAATTGTCCATACTGTATGAGTGTGTTTGTGTGAAAGTGTGTTTGGATGTTTTCCAGAGATGGGTTGCGGCTGGAAGGGCATCCGCTGTGTAAAAACTTGCTGGATAAGTTGGCGGTTCATGCCGCTGTGGCGACCCCGGATTAATAAAGGGACTAAGCCGACAAAAAAATGAATGAATGAATGAATGAATACAGCTTCACAAAAGAATTAGTGTAGCTGTTTTTTCAATTGTTTGTCATGCTGTTCTGTTCATGCACAAGCTACTCATCGCTGTTGATTTGGTTCCATCTGCTGGTCACATGATGATACAACTCAATTCTGATGACTTTGTTTCTGAAAAGCATCTATGAACTGCTTTACTTAATGAAAATCCATCTTACTTATAACTTTAACTTTGTCGTAAAGCAAATTCCAAAACTGTACTTGGTGTTATCAGTATATTAGATAAAAAGTGTAATAACTTCCTATTCAAGATCCGGGGTGTCCAAACTCAGTCCTGGAGGGCCGCTGTCCTGCATAGTTTAGCTCTGATTTTCTTCAACACACCTTCCTAAAGTTTCTAGTATACCTATAAAGAGCTTGATTGGATAGCTCAGGTGTGTTTAATGGGGGTTGGAACTAAAATATGCAGGACACCAGCCCTCCAGCACCAAGTTTGGACACCCCTGTAAGATAGTAGATCCAACATCTCAATTCTCATGACTTTGATTGTGAAAAGCATCTCTAATAAACTGGTTCACGTAATGAAAATCCATCTCACCTATAACTTTACCTTTGTCTCAAAGCAAATTTCAAAACTGTAGTTGGTGGTATCAGTAGCCTATCTTAGATAAAAAAAAAAGTGTAGCCTAATAACTTCTATATCCCAAAATGTCTTATTCAAGGTCAGGGATATACAAATTAAGTTTCGGAGGGCCGCTGTCGTGCATAGTTTAGCTCTGATTTTCTTTCAACACACCTTCATGACGTTTCTAGTATACTTAGAAAGAGATTGATTGGATAGCTCAGGAGTGTTTAATTAGGGTTGAAACTAAAATATGCAGGACACTGGCCTCCAGGACCGAGTTTGGACACCCCTGTTCAAGATAGTAGATCCAACATCTCAATTCTGATGACTTTGATTGTGAAAAGCATCTTAAATAAACTGGTTTACGTAATGAAAATCCATCGTACTTATAACTTTACCTTTGCCTTAAAGCAAATTCCAAAACTGTAGTTGGTGGTATCAGTATTTTAGATAAAAAAAGTGTAGCCTAATAACTTCTATATCAAAAAATGTCTTATTCAAGGTCAGAGATGTCCAAATTAAGTCTTGGAGGGCCGCTGTCCTGCATAGTTTAGCTCTGATTTCCTTCAACACACCTTCCTGAAGATTCTAGTGTACACATAAAGAGCTTGATTGGATAGCTCAGGTGTGTTTAATTGGGGTTGGAACTAAAATTTGCAGGACACCGGCCCTCCAGGACCGAGTTTGGACACCCCTGTTCAAGATAGTAGATCCAACATCTCAATTCTGATGACTTTGATTGTGAAAAGCATCTCTATAAACTGGTTTACGTAATGAAAATCCATCTTACTTATAACTTTACCTTTGTCTTAAAGCAAATTCCAAAACTGTAGTTGGTAGTATCAGTAGCCTATCTTAGATAAAAAAAAAAAAGTGTAGCCTAATAACTTCTATATCCCAAAATGTCTTATTCAAGGTCAGGGATGTACAAATTAAGTTTCGGAGGGCCGCTGTCGTGCATAGTTTAGCTCTGATTTTCTTTCAACACACCTTCATGAAGTTTCTAGTATACTTAGAAAGAGATTGATTGGATAGCTCAGGAGTGTTTAATTAGGGTTGAAACTAAAATATGCAGGACACTGGCCTCCAGGACCGAGTTTGGACACCCCTGTTCAAGATAGTAGATCCAACATCTCAATTCTCATGACTTTGATTGTGAAAAGCATCTCTAATAAACTGGTTTACGTAATGAAAATCCTTCTCACCTATAACTTTACCTTTGTCTTAAAGCAAATTCCAAAACTGTAGTTGGTGGTATCAGTAGCCTTTCCTAGATAAAAAAAAAAAAAGTGTAGCCTAATAACTTCTTTATCCCAAAATGTCTTATTCAAGGTCTGGGATGTCCAAATTAAGTCCTGGAAGGCCACTGTCCTGCATAGTTTAGCTCTGATTTTCTTCAACACACCTTCCTGAGGTTTCTAGACTAGTATAGCTATAAAGAGATTGATTGGATAGCTCAGGTGTTTAATGGGGGTTGGAACTAAAATATGCAAAACACCGGCCCTCCAGAACTGAGTTTGGACACCCCTTTTCAAGATGTTAAATCCAATTTCTCATTTCTGATGACTTTGATTGTGAAAAGAATCTCTAATAAACTGGTTTACGTAACGAAAATCCATCTTACTTATAACTTTACCTTTGTCTCAAAGCAAATTCCAAAACTGTTGTTGGTGGTATATATATACTAGACTAATATGAAAATGTTCATGTGATTTATGTACAATGCAGTTTGTACAGTAATATTTTCTGTCTTTTAGTAGAGATATATTTTTATGAGAGACTTGCTTTGTTTACCAAATCAAGTTAATCTAATTGTATTTGCATTTTAACATTAAGTAAAAGTTGAATATTATTTTTTATTTCATATATTATGGTTTTAAATATAATGCTCCCAAAATAATTCCACAGAAATCCGCAGATTTACCAAAATTCTCAGCAGAAATAGCAAAAAACGTCTGCAGATTCCGTCTGGCCCTAGGTAATACCACTACAGTATATGCTAAAGCGTGTTGGAAATAGCTACTAGGCTTATTTTGGCTACACTGTAAAAAATGCTGGGTTCCACACAATCCGTGTTGTGACAACATGAAGAAAATACGTTTACTTGTTTGTTTTACAAATTTAAGCAGATTGAACATAAAACAAAGTTGTCCCGAAAAAAAACTCTCATCGTGTTGTTTAAGCTCATTTTAATGAGCAGTTTGGACTTTATCTGTCTGTATTCGTTTTACATTTAGATACAAAAATCTGTAAAATCCAGACACACAAAAGCATGCCGGTTGATCAACTTGACAAGCAAGTTTTTTTTCCATCAAGAGTCAGTGCAACCAAATGTTTACGTATGCAGGTGACAGCTCAGCTCGGGTTTCCTCCTCCCTATGACAGTAGCCTGAACACATTGACCAATAACAAAACAACAGACTCCCCGCTGTTTCTCGCGATGGAGGCTTCAGAGGAGTCATTGAGCATATACACATATATACATAAAAGGTCATTTCGATAGCATTACATCCCGCAATGATGAGCGACTCCGTCGTTTCATTCGCCAAGGATTTTTTGGCGGGAGGAGTTGCCGCCGCCGTTTCTGAAACTGCTGTTGCGCCTATAGAAAGAGTCAAACTTCTGCTACAGGTACACTTTATATTTACACACTTGTTGTATGTTATATTAACTAATAATATGGCGTCTTGATTTTAATTAATGACTGTCATTGTCATTCGTGTGTCTGTTATTGTTAGTGTTCGGTTAGTCTAGATCATGTTAGGGGTTAGTTCACCCAAACATGATACTCAGCCTTTACTTGTTTCTTTCTCCTGCTGTACACAAAATAATACATTCTGAAGAAAACTGGACCATTAACCTGTAACCACTGACTTCAATAGTATTTGTTTTTTATATTATGGAGGTCTATGGCTACATGTTTACATCTTCAACAGAAAAAAAGAAACACGTAAATGTTTTTTAACCACTTCAGGGTGAGTAAATAGTAAGTTGTATTATTTCGGTGAATTACCTCTTGTGATGATGCTGTAAATGTTTAATAATTACAAAGAATAATTGAATGCTTAAATAAAATTGGTATAAAAGGCTTAGAAAAGGTCTTGAAAGATAGTTATCATGTTAGTGGACATAACTTCTGTCATTTATGCATTGATAAAATAGAAATCTTGTATTCTATTACAGATTTAAAAAATCTAAATTCTACGTTAGTACTCACTTCAAGTTTGTAGAAAATAAACCTTAAACTTATAGGTTGGCTATTTGTTTAAATTGGAATTGTTTGCGATGTTTATGATGAATATTTAAGGAAATCAATGTGAAAAATACTATACAACATTTTGATTATTGTGTTTCCATCATGTGTTGTGGTAATTTTATTTTGTATTTACACAGTTTTACACATCACCTTTGTTGTTACCTGTAATGACATAATGTTATAACAACTGGAGTTCATTATCTACTTAAAATTATACATTGATGCTCAAAAAAACAATTGTCAAGACAAGTCGAGCTTTATTGTCATTACACTACATGCGTGGACATACAGAGGAACGAAATGTTGTGTCTTGACAACGGTGCTACATAAATTAATCATAAATACAAACACAACACTGGACATAAGAGCTATTTTAAAAAAAACTATGCATAACTAACATATACTATAAGATACTTAACTACACATAAGACAGGCCATACAAGTACTTTTACATGAGACTGTGTAGGAAATTGTGCAAGAGAGGTATTAAAGCTGAATATTGTGCTAAAGAGGTATTTAAGGATTAATGTTGTGCAAGAGTTATTTAAGGTTGAAGCAAACAATGCAGCATGGTTGTGGTACATTTATAGTAAACATCGCCTTTATCATTGAGTTCTTGTAAGATGAAACTTAAATAAAGAGTCAATTGTGTGTTGTGTTAACAAGTATTAAGGTCTTTATGTTTAATTACAACAAAATTAATATCGTTGTTAGTATGCTAACGTACAAATTATAGCAAATAAATAAATAAAAATCCACTTTGTTGATTTCCTGATTGTTTTTAATCAGGAAATTCTCTGAGTAAAACTACAAAGAGAGTAAAATGAACTTAAATCTATAATGAAGACAAAACTTGATATGCAATATTACTTTTAAGTTAGTTAAGCAATTTTGACAATTCTATACATGAAATTTACTGAAATACTCAAGTGCAAAAGATAAAAAATAATAAGCAAAAGTAAAATCTGTTTCATAAAAAGATCTAATATGAATCTAATATAGATCTAAAATGAATCGCAAAGTATGACTAAGGGACTAAGACAAAGGAAAATGAATGAATATTATTATTATTATATTATGGATCAAATATGAATATTATTATTACATTATGAATCTAACATGAATCGCAAAGTACGACTGAGGGACTAAGCCAAAAGAAAATGAATGAATAAATGAATGAATGAATGAATGAATAAACAAAATAAATGAATGATTTTTTTCTATTATATTATGGATCTAATTGGAATATTATTATTATATTATGGATCTATTATGAATCGCAAAGTACGACTGAGGGACTAAGCCAAAGGAAAATGAATGAATGAATGAATAAACTATTATTAGTATTATATTATGTATCTAATATGAATATTATTATTATATTATGGATCTGTTATGAATCGCCTAGTACGACTGAGGGACTAAGCTAAAAGAAAATGAATGAATGAATGAATGAATGAATGAATGAATATTATTATTAAATTATGGATCTAAAATGAATCACAAAGTACGACTGAGGGACTAAGCCAAAGGCAAATGAATGAATGAATAAATTTTAGTATTATATTATGTATCTAATATGAATATTATTATTATATTATGGATCTATTATGAATCGCAAAGTACGACTGAGGGACTAAGCTAAAAGAAAATGAATGAATGAATGAATGAATGAATGAATGAATGAATAAACAAATATTATTACTAAATTATGGATCTAAAGTGAATCACAAAGTACGACTGAGGGACTAAGCCAAAGGAAAATGGATGAATAAATGAATGAATGAAACGACTATATTACTCCTTATAACCTTTACACTGGGGCTAATGGAAATGGTCCATTGAGGTATTGTTGCTATAGAAATGAACACACCTTTTCCACGAATCTGCTTGACACACGACCACACTCTCATATTACAGCAGACAGATGCTTTGTCTATTGACAGCAACTGCATTTTAAATTGAAGTCATCTTTTAGACACTTCTTATGTTGCTTAATTCAGCTCCTTATTTTTAGGGTCTGCTAAAACTACAATTTAAAGTCATTCAGAGATATAGAAATGTGTAGATGCACACTATGCCTAAATCACATTAGGCCTACATTGAGGGCTAGAATGCTGCACAAAGCAGATTTTAATCTACATGATCTATTTTTGTCGACTTGCAGTTTCCACTGGGGTAAGATGATGTCATTCATAATCATGTGATAAAATTGCACGATATCCTGTCATGTTAAATAATAAAGAGATATAAAGAGTAAAGGAATATAGTTCATGCAATAAAGGAAAAAAAAGATGATGGTTTGTTCTTCAGCACAACATTAAAGAGGATTTTTAGTGGCAAACCTTGACCCTTGGAGATTCAGAAACGCCTCCTGATTCATAAAAGGTCTCCTGACGATACATTGAGATGCTATGAAGACTCTTTATCTTAAAATAAAGCACTATAAAACTGTTTAGTCGTACACATGACTGGAAAATACTGTAAAAAAAAACTATCCGGCCACTTTAATAGGTTCACCTTACTAGGACTGGATTGGACCTCCTTTTGCCTTCAGAACCGCCTTAATCCTTCGTGGCATAGATTCAACAAGGTTCCTCAGAGAATTTGCTCCATATTGACATGATAGCATCACGCAGTTGCTGCAGATTTGTTGGCTGCACATCCATAATGGAACTCTTCCGTTCCCCCGCATCTCAAAGCTGCTCTATTGGATTGAGACTGGTGACTGTGGAGGCCATTTGAATACAGTGAACTCATTGTCATGTTCAAGAATCCAGTCTGGGATGATTTGCACTTTATGACATGGTGCGCTGGAAGTAGCCATCAGAAGATGAGTACACTGTGGTCATAAAGGGATGGAGATGGTCAGCAGCAATACTTAGGTAGGCTGTGGCGTTGACATGATGCTCAATTGGTACTAATGGACCCAAAGTGTGCCAAGAAAATATCCCCCACACCATTACACCACCACCAGCAGCCTGAACCGTTGATACAAGGCACGATGGATTCATGCTTTCATGTTGTTGACACCACACTCTGACCCTACCATTCAAATGTCCCATTAGAAATTGAGACTCATCAGACCAGGCAATGTTTTTCCAATCTTCTATTGTCCACTTTTGGTGAGACCATTTTTTTCAGACTATTCTCTGTAAACCCTAGCGATGGTTGTGCGTGAAAATCCCAGTAGATCTGCAGTTTCTGAAATACTCAGACTAGCCCGTCTGGCACCAACAACCTTGCCATGCTCAAAGTCACTTGAATCACCTCTATTGCCCATTCTGATGCTTGGTTTAAACTGCAGCAGATCGTCTTGATCGTCTTAGACCGTGTCTAAATGCTTAAATGCATTGAGTTGCTGCCATGTGATTGGCTGATTAGAAATTTGTGTTAATGAGCAGTTAGACAGGTGTACCTAATAAAGTGGCCGGTATACCAATATTGTGACTCGGCAGAACATTAAAGAGGATTTTAAGTGTAAAACCATGATCTTTGGTGGTTTATTCAGTTCTGAGTCACTCTTGATGACACATTGAGGTGTTACAAAGAAAAACAATCTTTCGTTTCAAAAAACCAAACATATACTGGATTACCTTTGATCTGCTGCTGCCTTGGTAAATGATTCATAAGACTCTGGTAATTTTGTAATGACTTTCTCTTAACTCATGGTGTAAAGTTCACACGGGTATGAAGAAGATCTTAAAACTCACAATTTCTGTTATGAAGTTATTTATTATGAATTATTTGTTTACTTTTAACTTAGTTTCTTATGAAATGCAGAAAAATTTATCCAGTTCAATTGCTTGGTTTCCATCACCCTGTGCTTATATATTTTTTTGAATAGTCGTATTTAAAAAAAAAAAACAAGTGATGGAAATAGAAAATTTTGAATAAAAAATCTTTGCAAAAAAGTTGTTATTCTCACTTGAGGGGATTTTAGACTAGACTAACATATGATGGTATATACAATCACCGGCCACTTTATTAGGTACACCAGTCCAACTGCTTAATAACGCACATTTCTAATCAGCCAATCACATAGCATCAACTCAATGCATTAAGGCATGTAGACATGGTCAAGACAATCTGCTGCAGTTCAAACCGAGCATCAGAATGGGGAAGAAAGGTGATTTAAGTTACTTTGAACATGGCATGGTTGTTGGTGCCAGACGGGCTGGTCTTAGTTTTTCAGAAACTGCTGATCTACTGGGTTTTTCACGCACAACCATCTCTAAGGTTTACAGAGAATGGTCCAAAAAAGAGAAAATATTCAGTGAACGGCAGTTCTGTGGGCGCAAATGCTATGTTGATGTCAGAGGAGAATGGCCAGACTGGTTCCAGCTAATAGAAAGGCAACAGTAACAGTTTTCACACCTAGACTTTCGTTTCGAAACCCGTCTCGTTTGCCCAGTTAGCGCGGTTCGTTTGGCATATGTGAATCCAGCAATCACGCTCGGATCTGCGCCTAAACAATCGCTCGAAGATCGCCTGAATGAGGTGGTCTCGCCTCGATTGAAACGAACTCTTGAGTGGATCAATTGAAGTGAGAAAGCGATATGTTCCGAGCCCGGTTATATCACAGTGTATTATGGATATGTATTAGGCATACGGCTATATAAAAAGAGAATTATGAGTAGGGTGGGAGGTCAATCCAGACATCCCTTGTCTCCCGGTAATCGTGCGTCTCCCTCCTGGTCCTCAAATACGTTGCGCACCCTTCTCACCCCTCCCCAACGCATCCCTCCTTGCTCTTCAGACACGTCGCGCGCACCCTGTCAAATGGCCTCCGCAGTCTCCATATCTCAATCCAATAGAGCACCTTTGGGATGTGGTGGAAGGGGAGATTCGCATCATGGATGTGCACCCGACGAATCTACAGCAACTGCATGATGCTATCATGTCAATATGGAGCAAAATCTCTGAGGAATATTTCCAGTTCCTTGTTGAATCGATGCCACGAAGGATTAAGGTAGTTCTGAAGGCAAAAGAGGGTCCAACAGGATACTAGTATGGTGTACCTAATAAAGTGGCCAGTGAGTGTTTATAACACACAGCCACAGTCAACACAAACTTATTTTGCATGCCTTTAATCGCGATTAATCCCAGCACTAACAATAATTGATTGATAATGGTGTCCTTTTTTTGCAGGTCCAGCACGCCAGCAAACAAATCACCACAGACAAACAATACAAAGGCATTGTAGACTGTGTAGTGCGTATTCCTAGGGAGCAGGGCTTCTTGTCTTTCTGGAGAGGAAACTTGGCCAACGTCATCCGCTACTTCCTGACGCAGGCTCTCAACTTCGCTTTTAAGGATAAGTATAGGAGGATTTTCCTAGATGGCGTTGACCAGCGCACACAGTTTTGGAGGTACTTCGCAGGTAACCTTGCAGCTGGTGGTGCGGCTGGAGCCACGTCTCTGTGTTTGGTCTACCCGCTTGACTTTGCCAGAACCCGTCTGGCTGCCGATGTGGGGAAAACTGGCACCGCGGGGAGAGAATTCAAGGGCCTCGCAAACTGTTTAGTGAAGATCTACAGGTCTGATGGTGTGAGGGGCTTGTATCAAGGCTTCAATGTGTCTGTGCAAGGCATCATCATCTACAGGGCGGCATACTTCGGCATTTATGACACTGCAAAAGGTAACATTGTTTGTTTTGTTTTGGCAGTAGTGGAAAGAGTACTATGAGATCATACTCAAGTTGAAGGAGCTTTACTTTCCAAAAATGTAATGAAAGTATCTGTTATAAATACTATACTCAAAGTGTGAGTAAAAATAGACGTTAAAAGTCCCGTGAAGTGCTTGTTTTATTCGATGTTTGACTAAAGACTCTAGAATACGCAAGATATGTCCCTTGTATCGCTTTGAATGGGGAAAAGTGTAACAGCTAATCAAGTGAATGAAGCCTTGCCTCCTGGTAAAGGCGCCAATCATCGATCGCTATAGTCTTACGATAGTCCGGGGGAGGGGCTTATTTCTAGAGGGGACTTTCTGCAGATTTTGTGTGATTTGGACATTTAGAAATAACACTAATGCCGAGTTCAGACTGCATGATTTTCAAAGTAGTCGTGTCACAGATGTTTTCCACTGCATGACTATCTGGGCTTGCGTTTCGTCGCTGCTTTGTTTACACTGCAAGATGGATCGGCTACAGGGGCTTTCAGATTGCATGACTTTACTATAGGAAGAATCGCCGACAACTTCGTGCAAACCACGTCTCACAGCCAAAAACACGTAATATATGTTTTGTTATTAACTACATAATGAGAAAGAAGCCTTTAATGGGGTAGAAAATGTGCATATTTGCTCACCTGGGTTTAAAGGGAATTAGCCATTTCTCCTCAACGTTGATAATAAACTAATTTCTTTCTGTATAAAACGTCAAACAGACACGGTTGCTCCTGAGTCCTGTTAAACCTCCACTAGTTTTTCCTCCATTTCGTGGGTCCAAATAAACCGAAAAAGAGCGCTTTTAACTTCTCCCCCAGCCTCCCGCTGGCCTGCAGCAGGTATACACACACACACACACACACACAAGTGAAAGCTGCTCTCTCATTGGCTGTAGGCGATCGCTGATGTTATTTTCAGTCAAAACTCAATTCACACGGCATGATTTGAATCGCCGACAGCTCCAGATATTTAGCACGCCAAATATCTCCCAGGCATTGGCGAGTCTCTCAGATCTCGTCTTTGATAGTTCACACTGTTTGATTGTCACTCACATGCACGAGCAGCGACTTGCCTGTGATTTCAGGCATTTGTCGGCGATTTCTCAAAACCTGTCGGCGAGCCAAAATCGGGGCTAAAATCACGCAGTCTGAACTAGGCATAAAGAGACATTTGTTTATTTTTTGGGGGGGATTCCTAATATAAAATTCTATCGTAAGCTTGGATATCAGTTTTATAGAATTTGCTGTTTCCCCATTTAAGCATACTGCCAGAGAGGTGTTTCAAAAATGTCTGCCAAGTGAAATTACTTGTCCAAAAGGGACTTTGGTTTGGCGTAATCTCAACTGAAAAATGAAGAAAGGGCGGGACATAGAGTAGCTCCTCCCCTTTTCAAAAAACAGCAATAGAGTTTTGTTTTACCACAGCTCTGCCAGTGAGAGTGTTTGAGCTCAAGCATATCCATGGATATATACACTAGCTATCGCATACAGACCCTGAGCATGCGTCAATTCCGCCGCCATATTTGTACAGTGCTCTCAGTACAAAAGTCATTAAACCGCACTAGTCAAGACCAAAGCCAATCTGAGGATGCTGGATTTTGGAGGGAGGATAGTACATTTCCATGCACACAAATTCACGCTTTTTGTCAGCAACGCCCATGCGATCACTTATCCATCGATGTAGAAAAGTGATTTAAATTATAATTTTCAGAATTTTAAGAAATATTTGCATACTGACCACCGGGAAAACCCCTGATCAAAGATATATGTATATATGTTTATATATCTATGACTCCGGATGGGCAGTCCTCCACTACACCTAGGTCCCACATTAATTTCAAAGGAGCACTACCCTGTACTAAAATGGCGGCTCTGTTGATGCATTCCTTCCAATTAACAACAACAGCACAGGCAACATCTAATGTAAATATCCACGATTTTATTTATTTATTTTTTTTTAACTCATCCCAAAAAAATTAAGTATAAAACAGTTTAGTAACACAATTATTTAAAGTATTGTAACTAAATGCATAAGTTGTAAGTGTGACAGTGTGTTATTCTACAATTTTGCACAGACACATACAGACTCATCTGTCTACCCCGCATTAACAAGCCAAAAGCAACAGACAAGGAACCAAAACTCCCAATTGATTAAAATGGAGAAATAAGCCTTGTGGGAAAGCAGGTTCAGACGTGGGAGCAGTTCTTCTCTGACCAAACGAAAGAAGAACTTCAGTCAGAGGTCAATGACTGCGTTTCAGTAGCAGTTTAGTATTACAGGTCACAGAAAATGTCCATAAACTTATCAGATAATGTTCAGGGAGAGGCTTAGCAAGGTATCTTCTGTGCGGCGAAATGTGTTTTCCTACTTTGTGTACATGTACAGTTGCTTCAAGTTGTAATCAAACAAAACAAGCACCTTTGCTTGAGGGAGATCGACCCAGATAGAGATGCCAGTTTAATAATGATTTGATAAGCTGTGGTTTGAATTTACGCTGTTTTTTTTACGGTTTATTATGCGGTCTTTGTCGCCATCTTGTGGATGGACAACATCAACCGTCTTTGGTCCATGGGCCCTACTTTGGGCATCTCTGAACTAAAGAATTACAAAATAAACATTGCAATTTTTGACTGCAATGGTATCCACATTCATAATTGTCTGAAATATTCAAGTAGGTATCGCTGCAGACCGAAGACCTCCAAGTGGGGGGGATTACACCACAAGTAGGCTGGGTGATCTCCAAGTGGGACTTACACCCAAATTGGGCAGGGTTGAGGGTTGGTGTAGGTGTAGTATAGATATTAATCAAACACAACAGGTTACTGTGAGGTTGGGTTAAGGGTTTGGGGTAGTTGTTGCAACCAATTCGAATGTTATCACTGGATTGAATGGACATTATCAATGGTTATCAGCTGAAAGATATGGGCCAGTTGGGGCCTTCTGCGCCTACTAGTAGGCTCAAAAGGCTGTTATCATATATTCACATGGTTAATCAGCTATAGATCACATATGGCTGCGGCTGGAAGTTAACAAGAATTATATTCATTCATTTATTTTTCAGTGTGGAGTTTGCATGGTCTACCTGCCTTCGCGTGGGTTTCCTCCGGGTGCTCCGGTTTCCCTCACAGTCCAAAGACATGCGGTACAGGTGAATTGGGTAGGCTAAATTGTCCCTAGTGTAAGAGTGTGTGTATGAATGTGTGCGTGGATGTTTCCCAGAGATGGGTTGCGGCTGGAAGGGCGTCCGCTGCGTAAAAACTTGCTGGATAAGTTGGCGGTTCATTCCGCTGTGGCGACCCCGGATTAATAAAGGGACTAAACCGACAAGAAAATGAATGAATTTATTTTTCAGCTTAGTCCCTTTATTAATCTGGTGTCGCCACAGCGGAATGAACCGCCAACTTATCCAGCATGTTTTACGCAGTGGATGCCCTTCTGGCTGCAACCCATCACTGGGAAACACCCATACACACACAGTAACACTCACACTACAGACAATTTAGCCTATACCCAATTCACCTGTACTGCATGTCTTTGGACTTTGGAGGAAACAAGAGCACTCGGAGAAAACCCACGCGAACACAGGGAGAACATGCAAACTCCACACAGAAACGCCAACTGACCCAGCCGAGGTTCGAACCAGCGACCTTCTTGCTTTGAGGCGAACGTGCTACCCACTTTGAATTTGTAATTGTATTTTATTAATGTCTACCCCTACCCCAAGCCTAAACCCAACCGTCACAGTAAAGTAAAACAGATCTGGATCTGAATACTTCTCTATTAGTATAGCTGATTAACCATGTGGATGGATGATAACAGCCTTCTGAGCCTACCTGAGCAGAAAGCCCCTACTGGCCCATATCTATCAGCTGATAACCACTGATAACGTTCATTCAATCGAGTGATAACATTTGAAGCGAGTGAGTTGTACACATTCATAAAACACTATGGGTTAGACGTGTCATGTATGAGACATTAAATAAATGAAAACTCCAGGTTTGTACAGCCCACTAGGAGCTCAAGTCCCAACCACTTCTGGCTCCCACCTCCGTTCATACCCTTCTTATAATATCTATGTTTTCCAGGCATGTTACCTGACCCAGAGAACACTCATATTGCGGTCAGCTGGATGATCGCTCACACTGTCACTATAGTCGCTGGCTTCATATCGTACCCGTTTGACACAGTGCGGCGCTCCATGATGATGCAGTCTGGACTTAAAGGAGGTGACGGTCACTTTCTATTCCATCTAAAATGGGTGTTTGGTCATTTCCAGTGTTAAATATAATCATGTTTTCCATTTTATTTTAGCTGATGTAATGTACAGCGGCAGCATTGATTGCTGGAGGAAGATCGCGCGTAATGAGGGACCAAAGGCCTTTTTTAAGGGCGCCTGGTCCAATGTGCTCAGAAGTCTGGGGGGATCCATCGTCCTGGTTCTCTACGACGAATTCAAGAAGGTCATTTAAAGGGATCGTTCACTCAGAAATGAACATTTACTCACTATTTACTCGTCCTCAAAGTGGATATGAGTTCATTTCTTCTGTTGAACACAAAAGAAGATTTTTGAAGAAAGCTGAAAGCCTGTTACCATCGACTTTGATGGAACCTTTTCACATTTCCATGTTTCTCAGTAGCGGAAAAGTCATCATAGTTGGTCAAATTAGAGTGCAGTCAATAAGAGAGTACAACAAATATTTTTGGTATAATAATGATGTAATACATATATAAATAGGCGACGCAGTGGCGCAGTGGGTAGCATGTTCGACTCACAGCAATAAGGTCGCTGGTTCGAGCCTCGGCTCAGTTGGCGTTTCTGTGTGGAGTTTGCATGTTCTCCCTGCCTTCGCGTGGGTTTCCTCCGGGTGCTCCGGTTTCCCCCACAGTCCAAAGACATGCGGTACAGGTGAATTGGGTAGGCTAAATTGTCCGTAGTGTATGAGTGGTTGTGTGGATGTTTCCCAGAGATGGGTTGTGGCTGGAAGGGAATCCGCTGCGTAAAATCTTGCTGGATAAGTTGGTGGTTCATTCTGCTGTGGCGACCCCAGATTAATAAAGGGACTAAGCCGACAAGAAAATGAATGAATGAACATATATAAATACATACACATGTAAATAAAAATAAGTAAACAAAATTCACAAAAACAACCAATGTTCACTTTTTAGTGAAATATATGTGTCCTAATAGTGTTTTTAGCAGTGTGGGACACATATATGACTGTCAACAGCTCAAAAAATGTGTTTTGTTACCTGTTTAAGGGCTATGAAACCCCCCATTTCAGCAGGGTGTTGTTTTCACACCACTAGTTTGGAAAAAGTCAGGAAAGTGGGTGTGTCGGGGGAGGGAAAAGGGGAAGGATTTGAATAAAAATGGGAGTTTCCATTTGGGCACGGGCTGATTTTCACAGAGGAAAAACAAACACACACGCAGGGGAGAAAGACGGTGACTGTGTTTAATGGCGGTGGAATGTTTAATACCGCACGTTGTATAAGAGAAAAAAAAACTCTGCATTTCTCGGTAACTCAGACGCACTCGGTTGTTTAGAAAGCTGTGTGTGTAGACTATCCTGTCCCAAGATGCGGCGAAAATTAAACACGATGGTCGCAATAGTTTGCTTGCAGTGTTCACGTTTACACTCTGAGAGCAGCATTAACAGCAGATCTTTCAGCCCATAATATTGTAGTAATGTTAACGTAAACTAAGTAACTTAGATATCATTTTGACTAAGGTCTGTCTTTAAACACTAAAAGAGTACTGCTGACGATACGAACTATAACTTTGCCATCTGAATGAACAAAGAAAGGGCACTGATCGCACACACTAACCAAATCTGTAGAGGCAGGACAATCAACACATACTGGAACTGCGTCTATTTTAAAGGAGACGAGCAGCAATTCCGGATTTCACCATTTCCAGATGAGAAAAGCTCTCGGGTAAACAATGTTCAGTACAAACGTATTTCTGCCACGTGCACTGATCCACATGTGAGTCCAGTTGCGCTCTCATAGCAGGAAAATGAAAACTAAACCTTCACTGCAGCACATTATAAAAGCAACACCGATGACCCGTATCCCCAAACAATTCTTATTCTTTTCCCTCTTCTTTTTGCAACACAACGTGGCGTCTCTCTGCCGTCTGAACATTGTTTCAGGTACAAACAGTCTTCGAAGAGATCATGCATATTAATAAGGTTGCACACACAATAGAGCACTCTGATTGGTTTGAACCAAGTCATACTCACGAATGGATGCAGCACACTTAGAGACGTAATAAGGAACTCCCAGGTACAGACGTCCAGTCGACACGCTGGAATACACACTAAGATCTCATGGCCGTGATGCAGCTTCAAAAATTACTTTCAAACCGGAAGTACGAATTTTCTCGAAATAATGCAAAAACAACCAATTTTTACTGTTTAGTGACATATATGTGTCTTAATAGTGTCTATAGCAGCGTGAGACACATATATGACTGTCAACAGCTCAAAAAATGTGTTTTGGTGTTTCGTGACCCATTAAGAGAACGTTTTTCTCTCGCACTTGAAGCGTATCTGACAGAAATACACCAGCTTTAACACACACCTTTAAAATCAAAGTTGTGGATCACAAAAACACTCCGTAAGCCACTCAAAAAGGTATTGACAACCATTTTCGGATCAAGAATTACCAGTTGTAAACTTGTGAATGGAAGTTCTAAGCATCCTACCGGAGGACTCCGGTCACTATGGCTCCCTCCATGCAGCAAGAAGAAAAAGTTCTTTAAAGGGTCCACAGTAGGAAAAACAAATTCCTTAGAAGTCAATGGTTACAGGTTTTCAGCATTTTTCTAAATATCTTCTTTTGTGTTCAACAGAAGAAAGAAACTTAAGTTCGGAACAAGTGAAGGGAAGTAAATAATGACCAGTTTTTCATTTTTGGGTGAACTAATCGAGTAAAACCTTCCCATTTGAGGAATAAATAGTTTTGACCTTTGTATTGTGGGAACGGACTCTTTGTTTTGACCCTGCTGAAACCTTTCATCTTGTGTTTGACCCATTGTACTTATCCACTTATCATATCTGTTCTCCTATTGATCTGTTTTTAATCATGACTTGAAGTCATCCTGTTGAACCTTCACTGTTAATATAATCTCCCTTTAAAACAAGTGTTTTTTTTTATTCAATGTTGTGCTGTGGTTGAACAGATACACTTGTATAAGTGGTTACAATTTATTACTCACAATTTATTTTAATGTGTTTTATGATTTAAATACTGGATCATATTAATTATACATGTAGCTTCATTTATTTTCCTTCAGCTTAGTCTTATCTCAGAGGTCGCCACAGCGGAATGAACCACCAACTATTCCAGGATGTTTTATGCAGCGGATGCCCTTCCAGCTGCAACCCAGTATTGGGAAACATCAATACACACTCATTCACACTCGCACTTATACACTACAGCCAATTTAGCTTATTCAATTCACCTGTAGCACATGTGTTTGGGCTGTGGGAGAAACCGGAGCACCCGAGGGAAACCCGCACTAACGGGTAGAACATGCAACTCCATACAGAAATGCCCGTTGACTCAGCTGGAACTCGAACTAGCAAACTTCTTGCTGTGAGGACACAGTGCTAACCACTGAGCCACCATGCTGCCTTCGTTAAACCTTTTGAAAAATAAAAGGTTTATATAGGAGCCACCAAATGTACCCAAAAACTCAAGAATCATCCATATATAAATACAAAACGAAGCACTAAAACAGCATCAAGGTGCATTTTATTAGTATTTTCCATTGACATCAGAGAGAACTCAGTTTAAATATGCATGTGACTATCCTCTAAATCACAAGTGTCAAACTCAGTTCCTGGAAGGCCGCAGCTCTGCACAGTTTAGTTCCAACCCTAATTAAACACACCTGATCAAACTAATTGAGTTCTTCAGGCTTGTTTATTACCTACAGGTGTGTTGAAGCATGGTTGGAACTAAACTATGCAGAGCCGTGGCCTATGCAGAGCTTGACACCTGTGCTCTAAATATTAGTCAGGAAAAACAAACTGTCTAAATATTTAATTGCTAGTGAGTGATTAAATATTTCACAAGGAGTAACTGAGCTAGTATAATCTAATCAGTCTGGATTATTGAGCAGCTATACAGTTAAAACTGCCAGCGGGAAAATAAGCATTATCAGGGCAGGAGTGATGATCCTTTCAGCGCCACTGTTTACATCCAGTGCCGTTCCTCCTCCACCTGACAATTAATAAGAGCAATGACAAATCACTTCATTAATGAGCCATGGGTTATTCCTTCCTTGTTTAAATGACATGAAAGGGATAGTTCACCCAAAACATCAAATTTACACACAGACAAAATATAGATTTACTATGTTTTTTAAGGTAAGTGGTTGCAAACAATTTACGTGGGCAGAATTTAAATAAAGGATAACAAAAATAAAGGTGCTAAAATTACTAACATTACAAAAATTCTGCCATCTACTCACCTTTTATAATAAAAAAGTTTTTTAATTGGATTTACTTATTTTTTTTAAGAGTAACTGGCTGCAACTATTATATGGATTAAATATATATATATATATATATATATATATATATAATGTTTAACTTGATTAGTTTTCTACTGATGATTGCAAATTCCGCTTGTCTGGTCTTCAGCGAGCCAGTGCTGACAGACAGACATACTGACAAGCAGACAGACTGACAGGAAGACAGACAGGCAGGCAGACAGACTGAGACAGACAGACTGACAAGCAGACAAGACAGACAGACTGACAGGCAGGCAGGCAGACAGACTGAGACAGACAGACTGACAAGCAGACAAGACTGACAGACAAGACTGACAGACAGACAAGACTGACAGGCAGGCAGACAGACTGAGACAGACAGACTGACAGATTGAAAGAAAGACAGACAGACTGAAAGACAGACTGACAGGCAGGCAGACAGACAGACAGACTGACTGACAGATTGAAAGACAGACATACTGACAGGCAGAGAGACAGACAGACAGATTGAAAGACAGACTGATAGACGGTCATTTCATCTAAATCGTTTGCAACCAGTTACCACAATATTCATTAGAGCTTTTCAATTTTTACAAGAAAAAAGAAGTGTAAAACCACAGGGACTCTATATTTACTCACTCGGGGTCAGACTTGATGACATCACGTTTACCCAGAATACATTGCGCTGCTGGACTACAGTGGCCCTAGAGACAAATATTATGTTAATATACAGCGGGAGAATAATTATTGAACACGTCATGTTTTTTTTCCTGGGAATAAAATTTCTAAAGGAGCTGTTGACATGGAGTTGAACCTGATTTTAGTACAATACAAACAAACAAAAATAAATCAATCAGAAAAATGAGTCGTGTGTATGACAAAGGAAAGACACAAAGAGAAAGTCCTGAACTACTGAAATAAATAAAAAGGCTTTTTGGTGACGCCTCTCATATGGAGAATGAAGTCATATGCATTGCTCAGCTGCGAGTTTATCACAGACTTCAACAGTGTAAAATCTTGACGGTTCTGTGGGTCTCGTCTATCAAATCTGAGCTTTATTTAGTCTTTTCTATTGGATTCGAGTCAGGTGATTGGCTGGGTCATTCTACAGCTTGATTATCTTTCTCTGAAAGCATCTGAGAGTTTCCTTGGCTGTGTTTTGGATCATTGTCCTGCTGAAATGTTTCATCTTCATCCTCTTGCTAATGTAGATGTTGGACTGAAGCAGCGGATATTCATTTACACTGAGGAAGGGGAGACGTTGCTGAAGAACTAGAGAGATTTCAGCTGCTGTCTGGGCTTTGACTGCCTTTCTACACCTTCCTTCCTTCATGTGTTCCCTTTGTTGTTTCATTTTATTACACATAACTTAATTTGTAATCTAATTAGTTTTTTTTTGCATATCTGTATTTCTTTGGTTGTTGCCAACATTCAATTCAATTCAATTCAATTCAGCTTTATTTGTATAGCGCTTTTACAAAGTAGATTGTGTCAAAGCAGCTTCACATAAATGGTCATAGTAACTGGAACAGTGTAGTTCAGTTTTTAGTGTTTAAGTTCAGTTCAGTTCAGTTTAGCTCAGTTCAGTGTGATTTAAAATCATTACTGAGAGTTCAAACACTGAAGAGCAAATTCATCAATGCGTAGCTCTACCAATCCTGAACCATGCGAGCCAGTGGCGACAGTGGAGAGGGGAAAAAAACTTCACCTGATAGGAGAGTGAAGAAAAAAAACCTTAAAAGAACCAGACTCAGTTGGGCACGACCATTTTAATTTCTCCGCTGGACAAAAGTCTGGTGAAAATTTCAAATCAACAGCACCTTTAGAAACTAATTTTCTGAGACAAACGATGACGTGTTATTAGCACTGTCAATGTTAATATTTTTAAAGTTTTGTACAGATTATTCGAGTAAAATCATACTTTTCATCATACAATCTAAAGCAGGGGTGTCAAACTCAATTCCAGGAGGGCCGAAGCCCTGCACAGTTTAGTTCCAACCCTGCTCCAACACACTTACCTGTAGGTTTCAAACAAGCCTGAAGGACTCAATTAGTTTGATCAGGTGTGTTTAATTAGGGTTGGCACTAAACTGTGCAGAGCTGCAGCCCTTTTGGAACTGAGTTTGACACCTGTGATCTAAAGTAAGCAGTATTAGCATACAATTAGTACAATATAAACTACAACGACAGATTAAATTAGTATGAATTAGAGATTGTAAAAGTTCACTCTTACATGAACATGATGTTTTTTGTGGTCGCAGGTGGAACCCAGGTGTAGACGGTGGAGTTGTTTTTAACGTTAGCGTTGGAATGAGTGATTGCACCTTGCTTGTTTCCTGAACACTGGAAAACACAACAACTACAATGAAGTAAACATTTATAATGACTGATTTACTTACAGATATACCTTACAGATGTCTGAATGTTTGTTTATACCACAAGAAGTTTTAGTTCTCTTTACAATAATTTGCATCAAATCAAATTAAATCAATTGAATCAAAATTTTAACACAGGCTCACTATTGATACATACCCCTGTCTACATTTCTGGAGAGCGTGAAATATGTAGCCAAAGGTATGTCTGGGCACATTTCATATTTAAAATGAACGCTATGGGACGGTATGATGCCAACTTCTGTTCCTCTTAGTGCTACCAGCTGACCGCTTACCTCGATGTGGACAACTTTTCTGGTGTTACCAGTTTACCTAGTAGCTCGATGCATATGCCGACTTGGGATGCAGAGCAGAGTTTACTGCGATGATGGGGTTTGAGTCCAGTGTAGAACAGTTCCAGAAACCAACAATAAATAAATAATCTTTTTCTAGATTGCTTTTGAAAACACTATCGGTTGGGTTTAGGGAAGGGGGTGGGTGGCTTGGTGAGTCAGTCGACAGCAAGCTGGCCTGGTTGGCTGAAGTGTATATTGCGCCCTCTGGTGGATTTATGCAAGGAAACAAGGCGTGAGAGAAATTTGAGATCATCTAAAAGCATACAAAGCGCCCTCTGGTGGACTTGCAAACACAAAAACTGCGAGCGGACATACCTCCAGTCACGTATTTTGCTGTCCTCATACACATGGATACGTATCCGCAATGAGCCTGGGTTGCAAATTTTAAATTATTTGAAAAATTAATCCGTTAAATTAATCCAATGAAAAGCAAAGTTTGTTTTGGTAATCTTTAATCGAAGTCTGATCATTTGCTTCTGCATTTGGAGTGGCGGTCTGCAATATTCTCAGCCACACCCCTTTTACTGTTAGATTGCTATGAGGGAATGATGCACAAAACATAAAGCCCCGCCCACTACTCAACATTCCATTTCCCATTGGAAGCACATGAACATACTGAAACAAAGGTCTTGGCAATGTCTGATTTTGTAATCCAAGGTCACATAAAAGCTTGTGTTTCAATTTCAAAGATATAAAAATAGATGTTATGTACATAAATGTAACGTATATTTAAAAATAGCAAAAAAAGGGGTGTTTATAAATGAATATGACAGAATGGCTGTGTTATGAGCACTGAAGACCAAGCAATATCTCCAAACTAACATCTCTGCTTAAACACAAAGACAGGGAGGCTGACATGGGGGTGACAAGGGAGTTACCAAGGCAATAAGAGCAATCATACGAATTAATAAGGATGTGGCACTGACAAAGACAACAGGGACTGAAACAATGTACTGGGACCAAAACAAAATCAATACGACAGAAGCTTCATCACTGATCCTCACCTCTAAGAATTTAGTGTTGGCTGGAGGCATCTGCCAGGATCCTAATGCCGTGGTGTCCGATCCAGAGCGAGCCTCCAGAAGCACACCTTTGTAGTCTGGACCTTTGATAACCACTGACAAACAACAGATAAACAAACAGGTCAGGCACATGTTATACCAAATACAGTTACTATTACACATGCAGTCGAAATATTCCCATAGCTGATTATGTCCCGCTCTGAAAGTTCACCCAAACGTGATCATTTACTCAATATTTACTCATTTTAAGTGGTTATAAACCCCACTGAGTGTCTTTCTTCTTTGAACACTAAGAAAGATATTTGGAGGAATGTTGGAAATCATTGAATCCTGTAGTAGAAAAATAAATAGTATGGAAGTCAACAGTTAACGGTTTCCAAAATTCTTCCAAATATCTTTGAAAGACATTTCAACAGAGGAAAGAAAGTCAAATAAGGTTTTTAACAAGTAAAAGGAGAGTAAATGCTGAAAGAGTTTTCATTTTTGGGTGAACTGTTTCAATTCAATTAGTTTATTGTCATGTGCACAGTAAGGAAACAAGTTTCCCTGTACAATGATGAAATTCTTACTTTGCCCTCACAGTGAAGTCATACACATACAGTTGAAACCAGAAGTTTACATACACTACAAAAAAGGCTCATTGCTATTTCGTAAAAAAAATGTCAGATGTTAAATCATACTAAATATTTGCTATTTTAGGTCTATTAGAATTACCAAAATGATTTATATTTGCTAAATGCCAGAATAACGAGAGAGTTTTTCTTTAGATATTTTTTTAATAATCTCTAGACAAATTAAAAGTTTTCACACATTTTCTTAGTATTTTATAGCTTTGCCTTATAACTTGGGTCAAACGTTGTGGGTATCCTTTAACAAGCTTCTCACAATAGTTTATATCAGTCAGTGCTTATTTATACAGTTGAAGTCAGAATTATTAGCCCCCCTGAATTATTAGCATTCCTGTTTATTTTTCCCCCAAATTCTGTTTAACAGAGATTTTCTCAACACATTTCTAATCATAATAGTTTTAATAATTCATCTGTTATAACTGATTTATCTTTGCCATGATGACAGTAAATAATACTTTACTAGACATTTTTCAAGACACTTCTATACAGCTTAAATTGACATTTACATGCTTAACTTGTTTAATAAGATTAATAGGCAGGTTAGGGTAATTAGACAAGTTATTGTATAATGATGGTTTGTTCTGTAGACTATTGAGAAAAAACACAGCTTAAAGGGGCTAATAATATTGTCCTTAAACAGTGAAAATTTATATTTGCGCTGTTAAACATCATTTTGGAAAATATTTAAAAAAGAAAAAAAATTCAAAGCGTCTCCCCCCCTTCAGATCTCTCCTTTAAATTAATATTTTTCTACAGGATGCTTTACAATAATATCTATGTGCAAAAAGCAAAAGCAAAATTTTGAACTTATCGAACAAAAAATAATCTGAAGATCACAGTCCAAAAAATAGTACACAATGAATGTGTTGAGGGAAAATATGAAATAAAATTTTAATAAACAGGAAAAAAAAATCAACAGAAAGATAATAAAATATATAAAATTGAAATGCTGTAGTTAATATTTTTTATTTAATGTTTATTAAAGATCTTTGGTACTATAAATATACATATGTATGCATGTGTGTGTGTGTGTATATAAATATAAATATATATATATATATATATATATATATATATATATATATATATATATATATATATACATATACTATTAAGTGACTATAACGTTTTAATCATTATTAAGAGGTTAAGTGAATTAAAATGGCATCAAATTGCAGCAGGTGAATGTTCATATTAATATTACCTTCATTAAGCTTGAACTTAAACCTTAGCCTGAGAGAGTTTCCCAGCATAAGTTGCCAGAGTAACGGAGTTTGAACTATTGTAAATATGATATATGAAAACAAATCCGCCATTAATAAACCAAAATAAGCCTAGCCTTTTCTGTAAGCTCAGTTTATGGAACAGGTCCTTGGGCATAGTCATTTTTTTTTTTTGTATGTAAACTTTTGACTTTTAATAAGAATCTTCTCTCCAATAAACACAAAATGGGGGAAAAAAATAAACAGGGGGGCTAATAATTCTGACTTCAATTATATATACATATCTATGAATGTAAACATGATATAATACTGATTGTGGAGTAATGTAAACAATGTATAGTAGTTAATGGTTTAAGATAATGCTTATTATTATGCAAAAGGTGCCTAGTGCAATTGGCTTATGTGCAAGTTCTTGAGTCTGGCAGTCCTGCATCTCACACTTATATATCTCCGCTCCTTTACTGACATCTCAGTTTGTTTTTGCGAATACATTTATATTAATTTTTTACTAAGAAGTATAATGGTTGCGGTTACACCTTAATAAGACGTTCATAGTCAGGTATTTGTAATATTAAATATACTTACACACATAAGTAAGCATGTCTTGTTGTGGAACTATAGTTACTTTCGTTCTCATTGATGGGGTCAAAATGATCATCCAACAAAAAAAATTTGACTTAAAGGGGGAAAGTTCACCCAAAAATTAAAACATGAACATAATCGCTTTACCCTCCCTTATGTTGTTTTAAACCTTCAGCAGTTTCTTTCTTCTGTTGAACACAGATATTTTGTAGAATTCTAGTTGCTGGCACCCATAGTTGTCTATAGCAAGGGTGAAGTTACTATGGAAGTAAATGGGTGGCAGCATTTCTAAAAATATATTCAATATCTGTGTTCAACAGAAGCCAAATCGGTTTTGAACAAGTGACGAGTGAGTAAATGCACTGCAAATAACTACTTAGATTTTGTCTAGTTTCTTGTCCAAATATTTTTTAAAAATCTTAAATCAAGAACTATTTTCCAGACAAACAAAACATATTGTCTTGTTTTAAGGAAAAATATAACAAAATTAAGCGTTTTTCTTTTGATACAAGTTTATTCTGAATGTTTTAGACAGATTATTTCATTAAAAAGACAATATGTTTTGCTTGTCTATAGAAAAAGCTTCTTGACATAAGAATGTTTTGATATCTGAACTGCAAACACAACAAAACAATCAAAGTTAAGCATTTTATTTGCAGTAAATGGCTGAATTTTTATTTTTGGGTGAACTATCCCTTCAAATAATACAAACCTAACAGATCACTCAGATCTTTAGAATCACATAAACTAGAAATTCCAAGGGTTCAGTCAAAGCAGGGTGAATCTGCCTTCAGCCACTATTCCCCTCGCTGCTGGAATCAGCTTCCAGAAATGATCAGATGTGCTCCAACATTAGGCATGTTCAAATCGAGACTGAAAACACATCTGTTTAGCTGTGCCTTTACTGTACGAGCACTGTGCTGCGTCCGACAGATCACACTATTATGTTTTTCGTTTTCTTTTTCATTCTTTTATAACCTATTTTAACTCATTTTAATTTGTTTTTATCTGTTTTTAATAATTTTTATTGTCTGCATTTTATGTTCCTAAACTTGTCTTTTTAATTCCTGTTTATGTAAAGCACTTTGAATTGCCACTGTGTATGAAATGTGCTATATAAATAAACTTGCCTTGCCTTCTAATTGTTCTACATTTCAACAAACACCTAGTATTGACAAAGAAACTGTTCTTCATCTAAAATAAAAAAAAACTTCTGGAAAACTGTACATTTTGTAACTACTCTCAACCTATTGGCATTAAACTACTTTTAAAGTTGCACTAGATGGACACAGCCAAGAGGAAATTCATTTATAAAGCACAGCAAGCTCATCACATTACCTTCATCCAGATCATCTCCTACCTGTTATGGGTATCCCTGCCTGAAACTTTGTGCTGCTGGCCTGGATGGTGTACGGAGCAGGGTTTGGCTGCGGTTGTACTCCGTGTCTCGGAATCATATCCCCACAAGCTGAAGTAGGAGCCCCGGTCCCATAGGAGTGAACGCATCCCAAAAATTGTAGTACGACAACCCCAAAAAACACAGTCTTCATCATTCCTGCTACACGTCTCCTCAATAGCTCATTTGCAATAAGACTATACAACACAAACTAATATATAGCTACAGACATTCAGATTTTTACCAAAAGACATTTTGCTGAGTCACAACGGCGTAAAAAATGGATTTTTTCTCAGCCCCTCCTTTGCATGAAGTATTCACATGGTGTCAGGTGAAACGCTTTTTAGAAAAAGCGATCAGTTTCAGGAATTCGTCACTAATCTGGAAGAAACAAAGACATCTTCTGTTGGGAAGGAAGCGAGCAGAGAAAACGAGCATTCTTCTCGGCAGACGTTCCTCCATCCCACTGTTATAACGACGGCATCTGAGAGTCTGCCTTTGAGAAATACACTCAAAAAATGACACTTCCAAAAACTATTACTTCATAAACATGTGCAATGACTAAGATAAAATATACGCATTTTATTTAACCTATACGTAAAAGTCCAATGTGTCTCTTTTACAAGTGTCCTTGTAAGAAGTTAAATGCAGAAGTAAATTAAATAATTTATTAATTTTAATAATTAAACTTTAGTTATTTATTTATATGTACAGTTGAAGTCAGAATTATGAGCCCCCCTGAACTATCAGCCCCTCTGTTTATTTTTTTCCGTTTTCTGTTTAACGGAGAGATTTCTTCAACACATTTCTACAAATAATAGTTTTAATAACTCATTTCTAATAACTGATTCATTTTGTCTTTGTCATGATTAAGGTAAATAATATTTGACTAGATATTTTTCAAGACACTTCTGTACAGCTTAAAGTGACATTTAAAGGCTTAATTAGGTTAACTAGGCAGGTTAGGGTAATTAGGTAAGTTATTGTATAAAGATGGTTTATTCTGTAGATAATTGAAAAAAAAATTGTTTAAAGGGGCTTATAATTTTGTCTCTAAAATGTGTTTTTAATTAGGTTAACTGGGCATGTTAGGGTAACTAGGCAGGTTAGGGTAATTAGGCAAAAAATTGCTTAAAGGCGCTAATAATATTGTCCTTAAAATGTTGTTTAAAAAATTTAAAACTGCTTTTATTCCAGGCGAAATTAAACAAATAAGACTGTCTCTAGAAGAAAAAATATTATCAGACATACTGTGAAAATTTCCTTGCTCTGTTATACATCACTTGGGAAATATAAATAAAAAAATAAATAAAAAAAATATCATTCATTCACAAGCGATATCACCACTTTGGCAAACCCTTGTCAAGAACCACAATACATAGTTACATCCACAAATGCCAGTGGAAACTGTACCGTACCAAAAGGAAGCCCTATGTTAACAGTGTCCAGAAGCGTGTTTTCTGGGCTCTCAGTCATCAAAGATGAACCATCACACAGTGAAAACATGTACTGTGGTCAGATGAATCAGTATTTCAGGTATTTTATGGGAGAAATGGACACTGTGGGCTTTGTACCAAAGAGTAAAAGGATCGTTCAAACTGTTACCAGCAACAAGTCTAAAAGCCAGGGTCGGTCATGGTATTGGGTTGTGTCAGTGCCCTTGGCAAAGGTAACTTGCACTTCTGTGATGCAACATTTAAGCTGAAAAGTACACAGAGATTCTGGAGCACAGTATGCTGCCTTCTTTCCAAGGACGCCCATGCATATTTCAACAAGACAATGCAAAACCACATTCTGCACACATTACAAAGTCCTGACTGCAGAGGAAGAGGATACAGGTACTTGACAGGTGGATGCGGATTCGCTTGTAGTCTCCTCTTAATAAAGACGCGGCTCTAGTTGCTGTGCATTGTCCTGTCTCTACAGATTTGGTAAGTGAGCGACCAGTGCTCTTTGTTTATTCAGTTTGTTCGTATCAAACTAAGTTAACTATTGCACCGAGTGTAAACATGTTAGCACCACAACCAAACTTTAACCTCGTGTAGGGTTTTTACCGCATTTTGTGACCGGAATAACACACGCGGCTTTCTGACGCTACCTGCCGTGTGCATCTAAGTTTCCGGGAAATGCTGAGGTTTTTTTTCTCTCATTTGCCGTGCGGTATCAAACATGGCATGAAAAATACACGCTTAGAGCAGCTCCTCAAATCAGATATCTTGTTTGTCGCGAGGGGCATGAATGAATTCCCTGAATCAAAGAGCCAAACTGCAGTTAAAGTCCACCATTTAGTAATTTGGCAAATAATTCGACTACAGATGTCCATGTAGGTTAAACACCATCACTTTTTCCTGTGTGTGTGTTTTGACTCTGAAACTCGCGCGTTCCCAAATAGACACTCCCACACCATCCCACTTTAGTTCCTCCGACACTCCCCCCTAAACAGAGCTGGACACGCCCACTTTTCTGACTTTTTCCAAAGTAGAGGTGTGAAAACACCCTGCTGAAACGAGGGGGTTTCATGGCCCTTTAAAAGCAGAAAATCCGACAACAAAGACCCTGCACTGTTGCCCACCTTAAGACTTATTTGCAGGAAGAATGGGACTAAACTACACCTGAAACACTTCATCACTTGGTGTCTTCAGTCCCTAAATGTCTTTTAAGTGTTGTGAAAAGGAATGGCAACATTACAAAGTGGTAAATGCTTTATGGTTACAACTTTTTTTGAAATGTGTTGCAAGAACCAAAATTGGAATCTGTGTTTATTTTGAACAACAATGCAGATGATCAGGAACACATTAAATAATGTTTGTACTGTCTGCAGTGAGATACAAGTCAAAGTAAATTTAGAAATCACTACTCTTTTATTTGTGTTTTCCTTAGTCCCAACTTCGTCTGATTTGGGGTTGTGGTATGTTATTTTGGATGCAAATATTCTGATGAAAATGTGTTTAAAAAATATTGACGAGACATTTATTTTGTAATTTATTAGAGGCGTCTTCCTGAAACATTTTACATCATGAATGAATCCAGTAACTAAAGACACAAATCTATTGCTTTCTCTTCTTCTTGGGTGCTCTTTTTCCTGGCTTTTTTTGTGATGAGCGTTTTTCACCCACTTTGGCCCTTTTGTCTCTTTGCCCCAACGTGAGAGCTGGTGCTTTACCTGCTGCTGTGCTGCTCTTCCCCTTTATTAAGTCCTCTTTGGCCATGGGTTCAATTATTGCACCCATTTTGGTGACGACTTTGGGTGTGGTCATCTTCTTTACGACACTTTGTGTGTTCCACGTCTGGCCAACAGGAGTACGGATGGTGGACTCAAACTGTGCAGGGTTTTCATAGGGGAATGGGAGGTGACTGACCTGTAACATCAAGAACAACAGATAGTATGAGCGTTTATTAGGTGGCATCTGAATGATTTGGTCCCATATAGGACTGAACAATATATCGTTTCAGCATCGACATCACAATGTAGAAATCTACAGGATATGGATTGATTATAATTAACCAGAACACATAGTTCAGATTTGTAAGGCCTGTAAATGTAAGGTTTAAACTGAATTTTAACCATTTTGGCACAAGAAATTGTAGAATTTGTAGCTTTGACAAAGACTAATTGAATGCAATTACTTATACAATGAAGACTCTACCGTAGTCAACATTTGAAGTGGATCAAAAAAGTTTTTAAAATGGTGCCAAATTTTACGACAACTTTAATGAAAGGTTTTGATTCACTTCAAATGTAAAAGGTCCCGTGAAGTGCCTTGAAATGTGCATTTTTTTATTTGCAGTCTGTCGTAATCTCAACCGAAACATGAAGAGAGGGCGGGATATAGAGTAGCTCCTCCCCTTTTTAAAAAACAGCCAATAGCCTTTTGTTTTTTTCACAGCTCTGCCAGTGAGAGTGAATGAGCTCAAGTGCATCAAATGAAAAGCGTCTTGAAGGGGGTGGAGCAAGTCAATGCCAAAGAGCATTTGATTGGTTAAGATTTGATGAGAAACTGAAGTACGAGGTGACATGAATAAAACCGTTGATCCATTTAGGTGGAAGTGACAAACTACAAGCTTCACCTGTTTATATTAGTTGTATATCTTCTAAATGTGAATTTTGTCACTGTTTCAGAGGACACTAGCTTATAGATATCCTACAAACAAACAATACTGATACTAACTGATTTCATGGGATCTTTAACTACTGTATACTGTGTTATTTTACATTTGATAAATTTCTGCACCTCAATACTGTTAAGAGACTCCAAAAACCCTAAAGCACCATTTCATTTGTGTATTTTTGTTCTATTGTATTAATTTGTGGCTGTAATTTGTGCACTTCCTATCAATGTAAAGTAATAAATCCTTACCAAAGAGTGTTATTTCAAATCAGCTGGTGAAATTATATTGATATCAGAATATATGTTGCAGAAATATAAACTATATAGCCTAACTGTAACCCTAACAACATACCACAACGTCGTTTTTCCCCCAATATCATATCGTCCTACTCCCATTCCCCAAGATTTCAACTTTTTAATCACGATAATAAGTTTTCAGCTTCAGATTTGTTCACTTTATTTAGCATCACAGCTTGAGGAATCCAGTGCAATCATAATCCAATTCATAAAAAATAGCATGTATGTGTAAAATGACCTGATGGGCAGCGATTGATGTGTTTCTCTTCTCTGATATGATGACGTCAGGCAGCTTTCGGTCTTGCCTTGGAGGCGGCGGATCCATTTTCTTGGTAAATCTACAAAAACAAAATCAAATCAACCATTAAACCTATAATAAGGCTTTAACTTTGGTATGAAACATTAGTGTGGGTTAAATTAAAGTTCTCTATTTAATTATTTGCTTTTAGAAAAGAACATTTAAAATAGATCTCTCCTCATTGGAGGAACGCAGCCTGAAGCCACACCCACCTGTATCTAAGATGAAAACTACAGTTTGGCTTAATTTTCATAAATAATTTGCTCAATTCTATTTGCTGGAAAATAATTGCTTTACTGTTACTGTAAGCTTCATTGTCCATTTTTGGGGCTATTTGTTTTGCAGCATAATAGATTTACAACATATATAACATATCACACACTTAAGACAAATTTTGAACGACATCAATTGTACTAAAACAGTGACTACCTTTTCCTATTAAAATTAAGCATACCGATAAAACAAGAAACAAATGAACATTTAAATCTGTTGGTCCTAGCCAAAAGAACCCTATACAGTGATCCTGAGGGAAACGGTAGAAATAATGTCCAATGCACTCTGATGAGCTTACCTTAACACCTGAATTTTATACAAATGTGATTTGTAATGGGCATTTTCACCTCAAATAGCTGCAGGTGTTTAAAACCTTTACCTTTTTACCTCTTAAAAACAACCATTAGAGTCCAATCAATAATAAACCTAACTAATTTCTGCCGACCATAAAGTCTTTCAGTAGTTTCATTAATATTAAATTTATTAATCAATTATAGTACCTAGGTACTTAAAACTTTCAACTAATTAAAACTCATTTTAAAAATTCATTTTTATTTCTGCAGTGACATTTCTGAATCAAACACCCTTATCATAATTACTAAATATTTTTTTTTAAATGAGCACCATTTTAATATTTGTATTTTACCATTATTGCATTAGCAATGCCAAATTACTGTTGGCAACAGAGGTTAAATATTAGATTTTTTTACTTCTCTTTTGTGTACTTGAATGCTTTTGTTAAATGAAACTTTCTTACCCTGTATGTGTTCAAAATAATAATTGTGGTCATGAATATCGACTAAATATTTCATTTTAATACTTAATATATTCAGCAGGTTATTTATTAAAATCGTATTTGATATATGATCACAATCCATTTTTTTAGCAAATTAAAATATTTTAATTAATTGAAAAGCAATTTTTTTTTTTCAAAGTTTTTGGGTTGATCTGAAAAATGATCAACAAAATTGTGCTCTGATTTCCGAAGCTTTAGAAAAACAGTATTTGCAACCATTACATATAATAAAGCCCTGTGTGTAAACCTTAGAAACATTTTTCAAAATTGAAAACAGACGCAACATTAAACTGCACAGTCAACGTGATGCCAAAATTGTTAAGTGTGTAATTGCTGGACTACTAACATCACCAGACACAACAACACAGACAATGACTGTTTTCAAACACTCCCCTCATCTCGACCAATCGCATGTCAGACAATGCTGGCATTTATGGTCATCAAAAGCTCATATAATGCTTAACAAATCACAATTTCAAAAGGAAATCTGACCCCCTCCTACAGTTTTGTCACATGATATACTACCAAACATGGGCTGAATTATACATGCTGTATAATGTTCAGTGCTGGGCATGTTACATAAAAACAGCAATTAGTTATAGTTACTTCTTACTAACATTGACTGATTTACATCATTATAAAAGTAACTAATTACCAGGGAAAGTAACTACTGTGCTAGTTTGAACATTTTGTGAAAAAATATTTACAGTTGAGGTCAGAATTATTAGCCCCCCTTTGAATATTATTTTCTTTTTTTGAATATTTCCCAAATGATGTTTAACGGAGGAAGGAAATTTTATATAATAAAATTGATAATATTTTGTTCCTCTGGAGAAAGTCTTATTAGTGTTATTTTAAGATCAAAATTATAAGCCCCTTCAAGCTAAATTTTTTTTGTCGACTGTCTACAGAACAAATCATCATTATACAATGACTTGCCTATTTACCCTAACCTGCCTAGTTAACCTAATTAACCTAGTTAAGCCTTTCAATGTCACTTTAAGCTGAATACTAGTACTCTTGAAAAATATCTAGTCAAATATTATTTACTGTCATCAAGACAAAGATAAAATAAATCAGTTATTAGAGATGAGTTATTAAAACTATTATGCTTAGAAATGTGTTGAAAAAAAATCTGCTCTCCGTTAAACAGAAATTGGGGGGAAAATAATAAACAGGGGGGCTAATAAATTAGAGGGGCTAACAATTCTGACTTCAACTGTATATACACACTGTATGCAGAATAAAATCGACATTAAATTAAATACATTATTATATACTAGATTTATGTTGTGTTTGAGAAAATAACGTGCGATTATTATAGCATTATACTGCATGGAGGAGCCAGGAGAAAATGGAAAACTACTCAGACTGTGTTCGTCTGACATAAACACAAAAAATAAATAAAGCACATACACTGAGGATTAGGGTTGAGCCCCTAAACGACATAATATTGAATCGCTATAAAATGTCAACAACAATGATAAGCTTTGGACTTTTTTGTGCAACAATGGGAATCCAAAAGTTGTGTTTAAAAATGTAACAATTTTTTTGGCCACCTAAAATTTATCAGCCGAAAATATTATGCCATTTAACCCCTTCAGATCCTGCGTCCATTACAATGGACATTACATCACATCCCATTTTTCTGAAATTTGGAACAAAATTCAGGTTTGAAGGGGTTAATTGACCCTCTAATTTGTGTGGCTTCAGTCATTGTTGGGGTACTCTTTTAAATATGAAAGCATTAACAACTTACATTTAAATATATATCAATATCGTTTAATATAATTATCGAGAATGCATTTTTGCCATATCGCCCAGCCCTACTGAGGATGGCTTGAGGGTGAGTAAATTTGGCATTTTTGGGTGAACTATTTCTTTATTTGAAGAAATGTATGTATTCTCTTGACATTATATAAAATTTAAATCATCCATTTAAAGTCTGCATGAAGCTGCATGTCTTAGAGAAACAGTATATAAAATCAGAACAGTGGGCGTGGCTTGTTTTTTTCTACTGCGAACTGATTGGATGTAGTAAAGTAGGCGTTCCATTCAGAAAGATCAGGAAAGAGTTAGGGGAGAGTTAATACAGCCTCACAGACTCCTCCTCCACACCATTTCTGTTTGTTGTCAGAAGGGGGCGTGGTTAATTATGTCACGCCCAAAAACTAGCAATGTGAGCTAAAAAAAACCACATGGTTAGTTTTGACCTCATTTGTACCGTAAAATCTTTGACAACAGCTAAAAACAGTTTGGCTACCTTTTGCGTTTCCGGCGGGAGGGTTTGAGTCCGATGCCCCCCCACTCTCCCCAGCCTGGCAGTGTCAGGTCCACCACTTTAGGCCTTCCTGCCTCTTCCTGTTTCTTTTTGTCTTTCATGAAGTCAGAAATGACATCATCGCCAGCAAAAGCCTCCTTGATGATGGAAAGCTGCTCATCGTGCTCCTAAACGCAAAGAGAAGCCATGTTAAACAGCATTTACACCTAATACACAAATGCACTTCATTAAACATGTGCATATATACAACACCTACATGCTATAAAACCTCAGATTACTATGTTTACATATAATAACTTTATTATTTATAGTATTTAAATGTAACTTTACCTTAATTTGATTGTATTGCAATAATGTACACCTTTTGTACAGCCGCTCTGACACAGTAATTACTGTAAAAAGTGCTGTACAAATACACTTGAATTGAAAAACCTCATTCATGAAACATGAGCAGCACGATTTTGGTCTAAATAAAGTTATTCTGCTGTAAATTCTGAGTTTCATGTTCATTTTGCATTTTTAATTTGTTTTCACTTCGATACGATTTTAAAATTTGCTTTTCATTTCAGTTTAGTTTGTTTCATTAACTCTTGCGCAGAGCTCTTAGTAATATAAACAAAACAATTCGTTAAACAGACACTGAACCCAAATCCACACCAACGAAAAGAACAAAAATAAAAAATTATGAAGAATTAAGACAAAACTTCTTTATATTAATGATCATACAGTATGGTCTGTAGTTAAACATACCTACCTCGCTTTTTTGGCAAATAAAGAAAAATAAATAAATAAATAAATAAAATAAATAAATTAAAATAAGGGCTGTTTGGAGCTTATGTAGGCCTACAGAATTCAAAATTCATGTTTACCTGAATAAACTAACATCATTTAATTTCATCACTAATAATCAAAGTAGAGCAGTTTCTCAAGCAGCTTTTGATGCATTTTGAAAACCGGAGATAAGCCCCTGGTCTAATGCGCCACCTGGCTAGAGAAACCATTCTCAAAGACTTCTTTTAATCATTATTTGGGTCGCACACATATTCTGAATGCCTTTGGCAGAATTCAAATGAGCAATTTTAATTCCAAGATTACAGTGGGATATATATATATAAAATCACGTGCTTGGCTTATGTCCGCCTGGCAAAAGCACCATCTACTTCTCTAAAGAGCCATAGGTTTCCCTTCACAGAATGGGTACTTACACCTCATTCACATGGGGTGTCAGCATCAATGCTTCCCATTTACTTTGAATGGGTGACTTCAAGCATTGCCGAACTGAATTGTAGATCTGTCGGTGCTGGGATTTTCTCAACTTTTAAAGCGCTAACAAAAGTGGCAGTCAATCAGATCACTTCATGCAAATATCCCAGATCAGACAGTAGTAAATTGCGGACTTATTTCATTGGCTGATGCTGCTATGATGATAGCGTTAGCCCCAAACTTCAGACATGCCCTCCATCAAGCGTTGCCGCTGAAGCCCCCGTGTAAATATGGCGTTACGAATTTTGAAAACTATGTTGGTTAGTTTTTTTCAGTGGCTGTTTTGTTTAGTTTTTCATTTATTGGGATTTTTAAATTTTATTTAAGTCAAGATGTTTTTTGACCAATAGTTTTAGTCTTCGATTATGAAAATAAAAGTGCTGGGAAAAGATTATATCTAATATCCAAATTAAGAGTTTTTTTTTTGACATATATATATATATATATATATATATATATATATATATATATATATATATATATATATATGTGTGTGTGTGTGTGTGTGTATTATGTATATATTTATCATATATATCTGACACACACACATACATAAAAATAAAACAATTCTGTTACATAGATATTTAAATGTATATATAATTTGCATCATATGCAAACATTTATATCTAAATATAAACAAAATTTTTCTCAAATATATGCACGCATGTGTGTATTTATATATACATAATAAATATACACAGTACACACACATAAACTTTTACTTTGGATGTAATCAATCATAATAACCTTGGAGAATTTCTGCAGTAATGTATTTTATTTCCCAAGTGACAGCGTTCAACTCACCGTTTCCTCGTGTTCAACCACTGTTGGCAGGAAGGGAACTTTGATGACTTTGGCTTCTTTGGTTAGCACTTCACTCAGGCTGATTCCCTTCTTATTCTGTGGCTCGGATGTTTTGTCTGCGATGGCTGTTTGTGTCACTGATGGAGTCGTGCTGGGCTGCGGCTCAAAACCTTCCCCCAAATCCTCCAGGTCTTCCATATTCCTGACTCGAACCTGCCCTTCATCTAAAAGCTCCTCTCCATCTTCCTGCCCTTTTTGAGTCTTCTCACTCCTCATTAGGTTAAAAAGGCTGTTAAACTTGGACACATCCTCCTCCTCCTCTTCTTCTTCTTCTTCTTTTTCTTCCTCTTCATCATCATCATCATCTTCCTCCTCTTCATCATCATTATCAGAAATCTCCACCACGTCTTCTCCAGCTACCTCGCTTACATGTTCTGCTAAAAAAATCAAACATTAATCCAGACCAGTGCTTTCCACACATAGACTTTACCTGGGTAGGCCACCCAGGTGTAATAATGGCCACCCAAGTATTATGTGACACTTTTGTTTTTGAATTATTATCATCCTTTTACACTTTTTTGTATCCGCACAGTATAACCAAACTTCCGTGATCAATTTAGTGGAAAATCTTCTCTCGTTTCATTCTGTGCGCGTGAGACCTGTCAGCACATCACATACTTTGCACACCCACAGAGACGCGCCTTTTGGGGCCTTAAAAATTTACCCGGCCAGGGTTTCTAAATCTCCTAAAATGTTTTGCACTCGCTTTCTAAAACTTGAATGCGTTTTTGCATTGCTCTTATATTAAAGACTACTTTCTGCTTGCTTCAGAGCTGACAGCGCACACTAACGCTAACGAAATAATAGATTCTTTAATCTAAACGATTCAGAAAAACTTTACTATATACTCAGAGAGAAACTGAAACTGGCTACAGAATATATGTATACCATTAGAAATGGTTAATCAACGCATTTGCCTTCATTTAAATATTCCACAAGTTTTATTCGTGCAATTAGGATAATTTTTTGAGATATTGTCTGTTTTTATTATTTTTTCTGTCATCTATTTCTTATCTTCTGATTATTTTATTAATTTGGTGATGCTAATACATTACTATTTTATAGGCTATTTTATATACATATCTAAATATCTTTGGCATTCAAGTTTGCCTTGAACCTGAAAGAGAGAAGCAGATTTAACCTGCCAGTGGGTGCACATGGCTCCTGAATAGCATAAAAGTTTCAGAAATAGTGGATTTATTTTTTTCATTTTTTTTTACTTTAACACATTGAAAAGAAACTGTGTATAACAGTGTCATAATAAATAAAATTGGTAAAATGAAATAATGTTTTGTTTGTTGCATATAATTAACTATTTATGTGCTGTGGGTAAATGGTGTGTTTCAATCCGGCTACCACCGCAAGTATATATCAAACCTGTGGGAAGCACTGCAGACAAACAGTTTGAACAACAGTCACAAAATATTTGGCCTGAAAGTGGGTCGATGTCAACTTTTCATTCATATCTTTATGGCGCCAGCAACCAACATTTTTCAAAATATTGTCTTTTGTGTTCAACAGAAGAAACTCAAATAGGTTTTGAACCAGTGAAAGGTGAGTAAATGACAGAACTTTAATTTTTGGGTGAACTATCCCTTTAACAACCAAGAACCCTGAAACAGTGTTAACATGAGTATTGTCAACGTTGAATCTACTTAAAATATTCCTACTACAAGTCTTGCGTTTAGCATCATCACTGACAGAAATTAAATACACTGTGTTTTCCACAAACTGGCAACCCATAGTGCTGAAATACAATTGGATAAACTAGTACTGGGCGGAGTTACAGACCAAAACAAAGACAGATATTTCAACACGGAAATCACATTTTCATAGGGGAATAACTTAGGGCCTACTCACACTATGCCATCCGTACCGTGCCCAGGCCCGTTTGAGAAGTGTGAGTGCGCTTAATCGGGCTCAAGTACGGTTCACTTGGCCGGCCCTGGCCCGGTTGGAAGAGGTGTGCCTGAGCGCGGTTCACTTGGGCTTTGGCGCAGTACGCTTGTGTGTGAGTGCAAAACGCGCCCGAAACTGAAAGCCAGACGTGACTTTTAAGGGACTGTTTCATATGGATTTATTAATAATTCTTACTGTTCAATGAACGCAAACTGCCGTAGTTTATTAAAGACTCAAACCCCTCACTGCATGACAGCTGCGCGCCTTCAGCAGACCTCCTCATTCCTGCAGCACGAGGGCTTTATGATTGTTTATGAGCGCCAAAAGTGGCGGATCTGTTCGGCGAAATATCTGACTGCGTGTCCCCGCATCCCTAAGGACTGTTTGGCGAAATATTTGACGGCATATCAAATGACTGAAACGATATAACTAGAGAAATCTCCACTGTGCTGCTGAGTGAGAAAGAGCTTCTCACTGAACAGCGCAGCAGCAATGACGTAAGCGTGCCGAAGCCCGCTTGTGGTGTGAGCGCGGGCCGTCGGGGGAGACGGGAGGGGGGACAAGAGCGCCTTGGCCCGGTTCGAGGCAACTGTACATAGTGTGAGTACGGCCTTACTGTAGCACTGTTAATCTGATAAACAAATATCTGTAAAGATATTATGATATTTTTATGCTTTAGTACAGTCAAAAATCCACATACAGCACCTTAGCTTAAAGGGAACTTGTTATGCCCCTTTTTCCAAGATGTAAAATTAGTCTCTGATGTCCCTAGAGTGTGTGTGTGTTTCAGCTCAAAATATCACACTAGTAATGTTTTATAACTCTTTAAAACTGACCCTTTTAGGTGTTTATCCTAGGTATTGTGCCTTTTTGGTGACTGTTGCTTTAAATTCAAATGAGATGGGGGAAGCTACAAACACCTATGCATCAGCATAGTGGCAGATTCAAAACAGGACTAATGTTATCTGTGTGAAAAACTGAAAACGTGAAAAAAAAAAGGTTCAAAAAATGCAGTATATAGAGACTTTGGTGTTTGTGCATCCTAAAACTCCATGTTTATAATCATCTTAGTCTCTAACATTATATTCAGCTAGTATGGTGTTAAAATTCTAATGGTGGACGGCTGCTTCTCACTCAGGGCTGTCTATGCTAATGAGGGAGAGACGGTCTCTACTGGGAGGGGTTTTCCCCCTCTGATGACACGTATAGAGGGAGAATGTCAATCACAGTGTTTCTGCAGACAGTTTTTATCAAGTGTGATCATAAAAGAACAGAATTACTATTACAAACTGGTTATATTCACAGACTGTTTCCACTCAACTGTCTTTGAACGCCTTATAAAAGTGATTTTTGCATAATGCGCGCAAATAAACATTAGTTGTCTTACTTTTTTCCTCTGTAGGGATCAAATCCTCAGCTTCATCAGCCTGTCTCATCTTCCTCTTCCTCTCAAACTCTCCTAAAAGCTCCTCTTCCTCATCCTCTTTCTCTTCTTCTGCCGCCTGAAGCTCATCAGTTGTGACACAGCTGACCTCGGGCTCTTCTTGCGTAAGCTGACCTCTCATCCAGGGATTCACAGGGTCGATGATCGGCTCGGGATCGTTCACGAAATCTGGAACAGCCTCCAGATCTTCGTCTGCCTGCTCGTCGTCAGAAAGCACCACTATTTTCTGGGTGAGATCCTTATTCATCTGCAGTTGCTCCTGCATCGCTTTACGTGCCTAACAAGAACGGAAGATTTAGAAAACATCACTTCTGTGTAATCAAAATAAAATAGGCTCATGACTGTATCAGACTTTCTTGTTTTGATTGTTTTAACAGTGTGAGCAGGGCTTTAGGTGGATTAAGTAAGACGCTTGATTAAAGAAGACTCTAAATTAGAGCATTGTCTTAATCATATTAATCAAATCAGATTACAGAGTATTGGTGTCCATGTAAGCATACTCTCTGTGCCTGCTCATCATCACAATGAATTCAATTATTGATAGGGGTGTAACGATTTATCGTTGTACGATTTATTGCGATGCAAAAATGTCACAATATGCATCGTGGCGTTATGACGATTTGATTACGATATGACGTCCGTTTTCTCTTATTAGTTGAGCTGTTTGCACGTGAGCTACGTTCCACCTGCTGTCGGACGTGAGATGTTAGCAGACCAAGATGAGTGGAGTTGAAATAAAGGATGGCCCATCCTCTCAAAATCAGACGTCTGGCAACATTTCGGTTGTACAGTCATTGCTTTAGACTCGTCCGCTGTTTGACACGCATACTGGGACAAACATAGCCTAAGTTTTAGTCTTCACAGTGATTTACATACTTTGCACAGCGACATGGATACCTCCTAATGGTGTTGAAAGAGTCACATACTATATTTATAAGGTACAATTAACCCTAAAATATCATTCTGTCTTCATATAATGATGTATTGGCGGACGCAAAAGCACACATGACGTGAGCTGACCGTGAGCTGTTATAACAGAGGGCGGACTATGATAGACGCGCGCGCGTCTGCTTCAGTGAACAGAACCTGCAGGTTGTGACTAACAGGTAATAAAGTAGTAAACAACATTCAGTTTGTGGAACAGAGTGATCGTTCAGGAGCCGCGTGGGAAGTATGAACAGCAGTGGAAATGAAACCGAAAGCGTGCACATTATTTAAACAATCATATCGCATTTTAGAGTTATGATTACGACAAGCATGAACTCTTTTGAGTACAGAGGTACACCAAAATGCACGTCAACATGATACACTTGATAGCGCCGATATCAGCGACGCCGAAGAAATAGTAAACCTGCCTAAACTGCTGAAAAGAGCCACGAATGTTCTGTGTAATGAAAAGACGGCCACCCTGTCACTCATCATGCCCAACATGAAGACAGCCATGCATAAAAACCTCTCAGACAGACACACATAAGTTCAGGATTATTTTAAAGAACTGCTGATTACCTGGAAATGTAGAAATTTTTTATTTTTTTTTGCACACACAAAAAACGCAAGTGACCAAGCAAAGCCTTAAGCTCTTACTGTTAAATTCAATTGAATTTAATCATTTCAATAATATTTTATAAGAAGTTTTTAAATTGTTTTATTTTCCAGAGACAGTCCTGTTTAATTTATTTTCTTAAAGAAGGTTCAGTTTAACAAGTTGAAACAAAAGAAATGCATAAAAAAATAGTTTACTTGGTAATGAATTTTTTTTAAATAAAATTTGCATTTCAGTTTAGCTTTCAATTTTTATTCCAAATATCGTGATGCATATCGAATCGTGAACAGTATATCGTGATACACATTGTATCGTGAGCTGAGTGTATCGTTACACCCCTAATTATTGAATATCATCAGGTCTAAAATATAAAGATTAAAAGCATGAAGAAGAAAAAAAGTATCAAATTCTCACTGAGTCGTCATATTTGGCCATGATGGCCTTTGATTTGGCCCACTTCCCGCTGTTCTGATGCTTCAGAGACATCCTCTCCTGTAGTGAAAACATATAAAGAAAACATCATTTAACCCGAATGACTCTCATTCATTTATATTAATCACACTTTTCATACACTGTAAAAAATGTTCCACACAATCGATTTGTGTTCGGACAAAATAAAGGAATTAAGCTGACTTATTAGTTTTTACAAATTTAAGTAGATTGAACATAAAAAAAAATTATTTGTCCCACAAAAAACCTCAAGAATTGTGTTGTTTCAGCCCATTTTTAGATAAGGAGTTCCAATAAACTTTAGGGATGCACAATATATTGGTGGCCATATCATTATCAGCCGATAAATGCTATTTTTAATGTTATCGTTATCCATCTGATATCAAAATTAGGCCGATATCTATAAGCCGATGGGTTATATAATTGTACAGAACTGCCTGCCTCGTGCAAGCGTGGGCCAAACTTGTTTAGACTTGTCCAGTGCTTTATAACAGAGCTTTCCTCACATTGTTTATTCCTTCAAAGTCTGTCTTTTCTTCATGTGGCATTGCTGGGTGTTATTAACTCAGTAAGTAACCTTGTTCCTTATCATTGTAGATATGTTTGATAGAGTGTCATTGTGCATTTTGGTTTAAATAACCTCAGGAAATATAAAACGTGTAAACATAATAGCAGCGATGCACATGTGCTAAACATCTTGTTGGGTTGTTTGTAATCTGATATGATTATTTGTTATTATCAACACGTTGCTTGCCATGTGTTGTTGATGTAAGATTGGATTCAGTTTGATCAGGATATAATTATTATTCTAAGCGCACGTGATGGCTATCACTGCACGCACGCAGTTCAGTTCGAGTACGCTATTCAGCTCATGAGATCAGTTCAAACCGTTATGAATTTTAAAAATAAAACTAGTTGTTTACGTATAAAAATTGTACATTTTGCAATATTTATCGGCTATAATATATTGGCCTCCAAATCTTAAGAGTTATCGGTTATCGATATAGGACAGAAAAATCTATATCGCTGCATCCCTAATGAACTTAGTTTTTTTGTATGTGTTTGCTCTCTCAATCCACCACACACACCTGCATCCTGGACATCTCCATCTTTTTGAGCTCCTCCAGAGCTTCTTGAGGATTGCTTTTCACCATTTCGTCAAACTGCTTGAGAAACTCCTTACGCTTGGCTTTCTTTTGAACCCTGTGGTACCTGCGCAAGATTCATTTCATACTTCAAATAAAAATAAAGACAAGCAAACTCATTTTTTAGAAATGTTTCAGATGCACAACTCACTGTTTACTCTTGATTTTCTTTTCTCTTTTGGCTTTAGCCTCGTAGTATGACTGGAGCGCTCTTGCCTTTTGAAGCTCAGCACGACGAATCTTAGCCTGCAATAATAAAACGGTGTTATAAGCTGTAGCAGAAGAAAATATGGAGCATTAATGACAAAAACTAACGACAAAAGATGTTCTGTTTGGCTGTTTCTAGCTGTGTTTCCATCCAAAGATGCAAATTAAATTAGCAAAACTGGATTATCCCATAAAAGATGTGCGAATAAAGCAACGTTTCCATCCAATGAGTCAAAGAGAACAAACTTATCACTTCCTGATTAACTGGCGCCAAATATCAAAAGTAAAAACGAAATTTGATGCGTTAGGAGAAGCTGTGTGAATCTTTTTTCTTATTTAATAAATGACTTGCGCCTCAGAAGACAATGTGGACACGCAATGAATGCTTGGTGGCGCAGACGCTCTTGACTGTTTTTAAGGTAATTAATAAAAACATTCATTCATTCATCATTTATTTATTTATTGCCATGTCAGCTACTAAGGCTATTTTCATGGTAATTAATAAAAAATATTCCATATATATACAAGGTTTGTGCAATGAATTTATATATTTATATATTTATATATATTTATATATATATATATATATATATATATATATATATATATATATATATATGTATATATATATATGTATGTATATATAAATTCATTGCACAAACCTTGTATAATTAAATATAAAAATAAATTTACTAATAAATCTAAAATGACTGTTGTGTACTGTCCTTTGAAAGGGTGAGGCTGTGAGCAAACACGGCCTCATAAGCGGAGACACAGCGGAAGAACATTATAGTTGCCATTCCTGTTCCTAATTAAGTAAATATTTATATATTATGTGACGCTATCATTATTAAAATATTAAAATCAGTGATCACCCATTAAGAAAAATAAAAAATGTAGAAAGAAATCAATACTGTGACGCGGTGGCGCAGTGGGTAGCGCTGTCACCTCACAGCAAGAAGGTCGCTGGTTCGAGCCTCGGCTGGGTAAGTTGGCATTTCTGTGTGGAATTTGCATGTTCTCCTCATGTTGTGTTTGTGTGGGTTTCCTCCCTTTTCCAAGTCCAAAGACATCTGGTATAGGTGAATTGGGTATAGGCTAAATTGTCGATAGTGTATGTGTGTGAAAGAGTGTGTATGGATGTTTCCCAGTGATGGGTTGCAGCTGGAAGGGCATCCACTGCGTAAAAAACATATGCTGGATAAGTTGGCGGTTCATTCCGCTGTGGCGACCCCAGATTAATAAAGGGACCAAGACCAAAAGTAAATGAATGAATGGATATTTCTATTTGATACATTGCCAGTATCGAAAATATCGATACATTATGATCGATCCGCCCACACCTATTGTATAACATGACATAACCCCAACACTAGGCCTATTTCATCTATAAACACTAATAACAAGATAGCAACAGCTACAAAAGCACTATAGCAAATAGAGCAGAAGCTTTATAAAGGTCAAACCTCCTCCAAGCTCATGGCTTTCAGTGAAGCCTCCTCTACAGGCGTCAGGACTGGATCGAGGACTGGCTGGCTGTTGCTGTGCAGGAGTTGGAAAATCTCTTGTTCAAGAGGAGTTTTAACCTGCCAGAACACACACACACAGTTAATCATAAAAACAACATCAAGTGCTTCTATCACACATATTTAAGTTACATCTGGTCTGCATGCAAAGAAAGATAATTATACTGACTGAACATCTTGCGATTTAAGATCAGAAAGCGTACGTCTGTGTGCTTGCATATGGTGCATGTTTTTGAGGACATAAGGCGGTGTAATTACAGCAGTAAATAACCAATCTGTACTTCAAGAGGAAAAGCGATCGCAAAGTAGTGTGACAATTAATGAGACAAGACACAGATGATAAAAATGTAAGTATATTTTATACAATTAGACTGTTTGAGATCAAAAAAATTCATAAAAATGTGCTAATTAACCTAAACAACATTGTAGGAAATGTTTTATGTATATTTTTCTTTTTTTAAGACTAAAAGGAAATTAAATGTTGGTAAATTGGCTGAGACAGCTCTCAAGACTAGTTTTTAATCAGCAGATGGCGCTCTGGGCTAGCTTTTAACAGCAAGTGGCGCGTTAGGCTAGTTTTTAACAGCAGATATTGCTCTAGGCCAAGTTTTAAACAGCAGACGGCGCTCTAGGCTGGTTTTCAAACAGCAGACGGTGCTCTAGGCTAATTTTTAAAAGAGCAGACGGCGCTCTAGGCTAGTTTTTAACAGCAAACTGAGCTCTCTGGTAATTTTTTACAGCAGACGGCGCTCTAGGCTAGGTTTTAGTAACAGACTGCACTCTAGGCTAGCTGTTAAAGAGCAGAAGGTGCTCTAGGCTAGTTTTTAAACAGCATATGGTGCTCTAGGCTAGTTTGTAGCAACAAACGGTGCTCTAGGCTAGTTTTTAAACAGCAGATGGTGCTCTAGGCTAGTTTGTAGCAGCAGACGGTGCTCTAGGCTAGTTTGTAGCAACAAACGGTGCTCTAGGCTAGTTTTTAAACAGCAGATGGTGCTCTAGGCTAGTTTGTAGCAGCAGACGGTGCTCTAGGCTAGTTTTTAGCAGCAGACTAAGCTCTCGGCTAATTTTTTTTTTACAGCAGACGGTGCTCTAGGCTAGTTTTTAGTAACAGATGGCACTCTAGGCTACTTTTTAAAGAGCAGAAGGTGCTCTAGGCTAGTTTTAGCAGCAGACAGCGCTCTAGGTTAGTTTTTAGACAGCAGACAACACTCTATGCTAGTTTTTAGCAGCAGACAACACTCTAGGCTAGTTTTTAAACAGCAGACGGTGCTCTAGGCTAATTTTTAGTATCAGACGGCGCTCTAGGCTAATTTTTTACAGCAGACGGTGCTCTAGGCTACTTTTTATCAGCAGACGATGCTCTAGGCTAGTTTTTAAACAGCAGACGGCGCTCTAAGTTAGGTTTTAAACAGCAGACAGCGCTCTAGGCTAGTTTTTAAACAGCAGACGGTGCTCTAGGCTAGTTTATAAACAGCAGACGGTGCTCTAAGTTAGGTTTTAAACAGCAGACAGTGCTCTAGGCTAGTTTTTAAACAGCAGACGGTGCTCTAGGCTAGTTTTTAAACAGCAGACGGTGCTCTAAGTTAGGTTTTAAACAGCAGACAGCGCTCTAGGCTAGTTTTTAAACAGCAGACGGTGCTCTAGGCTAGTTTTTAAACAGCAGACAGTGCTCTAGGCTAGTTTTTTAACAGTAGATGGTGCTCTAGGCTAGATTTGAACAGTAGACAGAGCTCTAGGCTAGATTTTAGGCACTTTAGGCTAGTTTTTAAAAGCAAACGGCAATCTAGGTTAGTTTTTAATTGCACAAAAAGCTAAGCTTAGAATCAATACAGAAGGTATGCATTTTTAAAATCTCAAAATTTAAGCAAAACCATTACCTTAAACAATTTTTCACCACAGCTCTAATGTTCAATTTGTTTGGTTTTAAACACATCTAAATTTCAACCCTATATGAATAATTATTTTACCCACAATAAGCATGCAGTGAAAATGTTATATATAAATGACAGCACACAAAACAAAAACAAACAAAAAAAAACATGGTCACACTTTATTTTAATGGTCTGTTTGTTGAATTTAAGTTACATTGCATCTACATGTCAACGAATTTTCATTAGATTATAAGCAGACTGTTAGGTTGGGGTTAGGATTAGTGTACGTTGACATGTACTTGCAAAGTTTCTTATAGTCAGTTAAATGTCTGTTGGAGAAGCAATATCAGCAGATATTAAGCAGACAGTCTACTAATACTCAAATGGACCATCAAAATAAAGTGTTACCAAAAACACAAATAAATAAACAAACACATACACAAAACATTTTAATTACAAACAATTAAATAACCTTCCATCCAGCCACGACCTGCTCCACCCGTTTAGGACCCGATGGCTCCTGTTTCAGAGGAAACACCATTTGTTCAGCCCTCTGGTTTTGGACGATGATGTTCTGCCAGTTAGACACCTCCTCAGCGGTCTTAACATAGGCTATGCCTCTCTGAATCTGTGAACACAACAGACAGGAAACAAATTCAGCAAATTAAACAAGATATCTACAATATCAGAAGCTGAGAATAAAATCAGATCATCAAGCACAATGACAGCATTCAGCCCTAATGAATATCAGAATAAATACACAAACCCTTTAACAACTTTAGCTTTGTGACCGTCTTGAAAAGAAAATGTTTATATGATTTTGCATAATGAAGTCTCAAAGCCACTCCTTTCAAAGATATTAGACTGTTTTTTACCTCATGTCAGATTATATGGATATTCATTCATATTATATTATGTCATATTATGTATAATGGGTAAAACAAATAAAAAGTGCAGTTAAGTGCAACATTTAATCCACCAAGAAGGACATAAAAATGAAAGAAATATTTTAAAGAGAAATTTTGCCCTGATCTCCATCTTAAATAATAACATTAATTAAAATAATAACAATAATAATAATTAATCTACATATAAAATAAAATACTTACATATAGCCTAAAAGTAAAGTCAAATTAGATGCATAGTTTTGCATGTATTTTAATAGACATCTCGCTCACACACTGAATTTAAGCAGGAAAATAATAAGTACAAGCTTTCAAGGTCATCCAATTATGAAATAGCCTATCAGATATTACTGTAGGACAGCATACACTTATTATCCCCCACTGAAAACCTAAATGCGTTTGATTATGAATTAGATGTGATTGACTGAAATATGTAAATTGGGTTGACTGAAGCATGCATATGTATTACACAAACGAACATTACCGAAATAAAATATTTAACGCCAATATAAAATTCAAATCAAAACAGATACCTTCCTATTGCTGCTTGTTGTTTACATAAATTATGAATTAACTATATACGGTTGGTATAATATGCCTGGTGCCAATAATCTCTAAACCAAAAGCATTTAATTTGTTTGTTTTTATTTATATACACAGCTGAAGTCTTAGAATTATTAGCCCCCCTGTTTATTTTTTCCCCAATTTCTGTTTAACAGAGGGCAGATTTTTTCAACACATTTCTAAACATAATAGTTTTAATAACTCATTTCTATTAACTGATTTGTTTTATCTTTGTCATGATGACAGTAAATAATATTTGACTAGATATTTTTCAAGACACTTTTATACAGCTTAAAGTGACATTTAAAGGCTTAACTAGGCTAATTAGGTTAACTAGGCAGGTTAGGGTAATTAGGCATATTGTATAACAGTAATTTGTTCTGTAGACAGTCGGAAAAAAACTGGCTTAAAGAGGCTAATAATATTGACCCTAAAATGGTGTTTAAAAAATTAATAACTGCTTTTATTCTAGTTGAAATAAAACAAATAAGACTTTCTCCAGAAGAAAAAATATCATCAGACATACTGTGAAAATTTCCTTGCTCTGTTCAACATCATTATGAATTATTTAAAAAAAAAAATATTCAAAGGGGGGGCTTATAATTCTGACTTCAACTGTATGTATGTATGTATGTATGTATATATGTATATATGTGTTACTTCCCTTTTTCCATAAAGGTCAGTAAATGTACATTTAAGTGTTGTAGTGTTTTGTTTTTCTGCAATACTATTCACTTTGCGGGTTTTATTTTGTTTTGTCCCTCCGTCTATCTGCATTTCTTTATTTACATAATAGTTTTTTGTAATAAGCACCAACTTTTTGAAAGTTGTCATGATAAATAGAGTGAATGACGTCCGAATCCAGCATTTGCTGACCTTCTCTTTTTGCTGCTTGTTGAGCGGCAGCTCCAGAGTCTCTTTAGTGCTCTGCAGGTTCCTCAGCTGTTTCTTGGTCTTGTTGGAAGCTCCTGCGGTTTTCTCCACAACCCCCAGCAGGTCCGAAAGGTTGATTTTGTCTCCTGCACCTATAAAAAATATATATTAAAAGCTCAGCATAATGCTCAATTCTGGACAATGATAAAACGTGAATGTATTATAAGAGGCATTCTGCATTTACCTTCTGCGTTGACAAAGAACTCAGAGACCTGCACACTGGCTTCAGAGCGCTCACTCTGCTTTTTCCTTTAGTAAAAAAAGATAGAGACACATTAAAGAATGGCATTACAATGAAAAAGGCAAACATCTGATGTGAAAACTGTTTTAAGCCCATTTAGCCCAGCCGGCCATTAATATCACTTACTGAACAAACAACTTTGTTGTTCACAGTACAAACTTTAACTCAACAATTTTATTTTTTTTAATTGTTCATTACAAAACATGCTAATAAGTCATCATATTTAGAATTTTACAGATGATTTGTCATGATACAAGCACATTTATTGAAACTTAGAGATATATTTTAGTTTCTTCTTAGATGATCTCCTTCGATTTATCCAAGACGTAGGTGCCATTTTTTTTTCAGCAGAAAATTAAAAGCTGATTTGAACTGAATCCGTTGTCCTTGGTGAATCCAAATTGATGCCCATGAAAATCTAACATTATTCATAATATTATTAGCTTTAAAGCTCCTGTAAAGTTTTATATAATGTGTATTTATTCGATATTTGATGTAAGCTCAGCTATATTAGCTTTGCGTCTTAAAACAAACAGCAAATTCACTTTGTTTACATCACAGCTCTGGCAGTGAGAGCGGATGAGCTTAAGCTATCCCTTTAATGGACAGTTCTTGGTGTGTGCACCATACCTGCCAACACTCCCGTTTTTCTCGGGAGTCTCTCATATTTCAGACCTAACTCCCGCCACCCTCCCGTTTTATTATTTCTCTGGGAAAACTCCAGTAATTCCCGTAATTCTAAACACCTTCGTGAATTAGTAAAGTGTATATAAAGAGATTAGGCTTTGATTACATACATTTCGATGGTTTCATAGCACTACACCAGTCCCACGCACCAGTAATTCAACTAAAAAACAATAGTAATTCATAGTAAAAAGCTTTTGAACCATACTAAAGTGCAATGTAATGTAATGTATTTTTTATTTAATACCATGTCAGCAACCAAGGCCTTTTTAATGGCAGGAATCTTTCAACAATAAATATACAATTTAAAAATCAACAAACAAAATAAAACATAAATTAAATAAGATTTTTTGTGTTAATACATGATAAAAATTCTAAAATCTTTTCTGGTTTCACTTTGTTAAAAATGTCCTTCAAAGATTTCATTTCATAAAAAAGGCTTCTGTAATCAGTAAAAGCAGGACAGTCCAGTAAAATGTGTTTTATAGTAAGAGGAGTTTTGCAGCACAAACACTGAGTAGGGTTTTCACCTTGGAGCAAAAAACCATGTGTTATTCTCCATACTAAAGTGTATGAGTGTAATGTTTACAACTATTTTTAAAGAAGGCCACGGCATATTGTAGTATAGTGTGCAATGGAGGCCAGCTGGCGAGTGCAGCGTAAAAGCCTCACTCTCATAACCTCCTCCTTAGAGCATTTGCCTCGAAACGAGTGGGTGGGTGTAGGACTGGTTGGAATACAATAAACAGAAATGCTTTTGAGTACCTTGGATTTTACTACAGTCATCTGTGTTGTAATGCAACATACCTTAAGTGTAAAATACTACAGTAATATTTTGATATTCATATTGTTGTACAACTACATGAATGAGTTGGTCAGATGTGAACTTTACATATTTGCAATACAGTGCTTTCCCACACTTTAACCAGCAGAGGTCCTTATAGAGCTCTGATTTAGAAAGCTCCGAGTAACAAGCCTTTTTCTGATACAATTGAGTTGAACAGTTCACTGGCTCAAAAAGCTTCGTTTCACCATAACTACATTCTGCAACACCCCCGGGTCACCAACTTTGGTATAACATTCGATCGCTGCAAACACCACAAACATCGCCTCACCCACCCATTCTCCTGGAATTTTAGAGACAAATATTGGTAGTTATGGTGTGCACAAACGCTTGTGAGCTTGTGTAATACTATAATATTGTAAACAATGTTCACTTTCCCTTTCATAGGACCTCAGTGTATCACCAGGAGCCATGTGGATTGATTTGGGCTTTCATCCTTAAAATGGGTGACCATTGACTGCTATTACATAGATCAGGGGTTCTCAAACTGGTACGTGTACCAGTAGTGGTGCGCAGGCTTCCCTTAGTGGTACGCGGAGGAATGAAATATGTCATGTACATGCTACACACATTTAAAAATGTATCAAAAATGATGGATATAATATGCCACATATAACATATAGCCTATATTTCTGAGGTAATCTGCCACGTATTTTTGAACTGTGCAGAGTTGTAGCTGCTTTATTGGGCCCACTGCGCTACTGTATTTCAATACTGCTCATTTTGGTGGTACTTGGAGAGACAATTTTTTTCTGAGGTGGTACTTGATGAAAAAAGTTTGAGAACCACTGACATAGATAAACCAAAAACCACAGATTCAGCCATAAAACTTTAATGTTCTACCAAAAGAAATCACCTACATCTTGGATGGCCTGAGGGACAGTAAATGAACTGTAAATTGTCATTTTTGGGTAACCCATCCCTTTAAATGTTCAATCCTGTTTATCTCCTGAGCATTTAGTTATCTCCATGGGTGCGAGTTCTCCTCTGATGTTTCAGCCAATCAGACTAAAGTACTCAGACTGACCATGGAGTAAATAAAATTTAATTTAATTTAATTTTCATTTAGCACGACCAAGAGTAAAATCCCAAACCTCTTTCTTCCACCCATAGAACTGATGGCCTCAAGAAGCTTGTTGTGTTTCCTCTCATCATCACTGCCCTCCTGCAAAAAGAAAACAAAAAATACAGAATAATCAAACATTCAGCTTGGATCGGGTACAAGAGATACAGAGGAGTTCTCCATAAAACAAAAGTCTCTCCATAAAAAAAATCTGTCTTGTAATATTAGTAACAGTTAGGATCGTATTGCAATATTTACGAGCAAACTAAAACGTTATGATTGTGACAGGTTTGACAGAAAGTGCACACGTCATTAAACACAGTATGAAGCTTTATTTAGAGCTGGCCCACCTCATCTTCGCTGGCACTGATGGCTTGTTCAGGATCAGTGTAAAGCTCTTCTTCATCTCCACTGTCTGCAGCCATTGCTGAAGTTACACCTTCACTGTGGAGGATTACAAAAACATAAATGCTAGACAAAAAATCTGATTGAAGTAAATTTGGTTTTATATTCACACATTCAGACTTTCTCCGTAATCATATAGTTTCATAAAAGTGTTCATTGCATAATCTAAATAGGGAAATCATATTAGCAGCCACTGACTATCAAAGTACAACATTTTTCAGTCAATTAAATAGTGCTAATGTTGTTTTGAAGTCATACTTGCATGCTATTTCAGACTAAATATAAAAATGTAGCATGGTAAACAAAATAAAGAAGTTTGTCGCAGTTCAAAAAAATAGTAAAGTACTTGAAATAACCTGTAATACAACAACTATAGCAATATAAACAAATGACCCAATTCTGTATAACTACAGGGTATATTATCCAACAATACACCAGTTTACTAAAGTAAAAATTAAAGCATGTGTTGAAGCATTTATAGTGGTGTAAATACTATAATAATACACTTTACTAAAACACTGTATTGATTATAATTTACAGTGATACAGCATTTTATATATGAGGTAGGCCAACATTTTAGACTTCAGGCTGGTTTTAGCTTCTAGAAAGCAACTCCTGCCTTTTTACTAATATATTATTGGAAAGTCTTGAGGTAAAGTTGGTTTTATATTCACACATTTAGACTTTCTGCATAACATGATTTCAGAAAAGTGTTCATTGCATAATCTAAATAGGGAAATCATATTAGCAGCCACTGACTATCAAAGTACAACATTTTTCAGTCAATTAAATAGTGCTAATGTTGTTTTGAAGTCATACTTGCATGCTATTTCAGACTAAATATAAAAATGTAGCATGGTAAACAAAATAAAGAAGTTTGCCGCAGTTTAAAAAAATAGTAAAGTACTTGAAATAACCTGTAATACAACAACTATAGCAATATAAACAAATGACCCAATTCTGTACAACTACAGGGTATATTATCCAACAATACACCAGTTTACTAAAGTAAAAACTAAAGCATGTGTTGAAGCATTTATAGTGGTGTAAATACTATAATAATACACTTTACTAAAATAAAAAAACACTGTATTGACTATAATTTACAGTGATACAGCATTTTATATATGAGGTAGGCCAACATTTTAGACTTCAGGCGGGTTTTAGCTTCTAGAAAGCAACTCCTGCCTTTTTACTAATATATTATAGGAAAGTCTTGAGGTAAAGTTGGTTTTATATTCACACATTTAGACTTTCTGCATAACATGATTTCAGAAAAGTGTTCATTGCATAATCTAAATAGGGAAATCATATTAGCAGCCACTGACTATCAAAGTACAACACTGATTAGTTAATTAAATAGTGCTAATGTTGTTTTGAAGTCATGCTTGCATGCTATTGCAGACTAATACTCAAAGTAGTATGGTAAACATATAACATAAAGAACATATAAAGAAGTTGTCACAGTTAAAAGATGAACAAATATGCGAACATAAAACCAACTTTACCTCGAATCAGTGAGGAAAGCCAGGATACATTCGCATTAAAAAACACTATTCATTTATAGTAAATACTACAGTGTTTTTAATATTAAAGTACTTTTTTACCTGTAATATACAAGAACTATAGCAATATAAACAAATGACCCAATTCTGTACAACTGTATATTATCCTACAATAGACCAGTTAAACTAAGTAAAAACTGAAGCATACTGCAGTATTTATTAATTTATCAGTTCACTATTATTAATACTAGTGTGTTAAAGCATTTATAGTGGTGTAAAAACTATAATAATACACTTTACTTCTATCAAAAACACTGTGTTGACTATAAAAAGCAGTACTACAGCATTTTTTATGTGAGGTTAGGCTAATATATTAGACTTCAGGCTAGTTTTAGCTTCTAGAAAAAATAACTGTTTTTTACTATTATACTATTGGAAAATAACAACAAAGAAGTATTTGGTTAATGAAGTCTGAGCAAACCTTGGCGTTGTTTTCTGAAGAGAGCTCCTCTTGACCATGCTGTAGTTTAACCACGTGTCCAGCAAAAAGTAATAATTATTGACTCTCTTTTCTCTGAGATGATTCAGAGAACCGGAGACTTCGAAAGTGAATATATCCGTCAATCTACAAAGATCGTCATGTTTCCTGAAATGCTGAAAGACAAAATATTAGTATGTCTGACTGAATTCACAATGTACTGAGTCTTCCGTGTGTTTACTAGCCGGTTGAAGCTCAGCTATTGTGAAGTGGTAGCGCCATCTGCTGTGCTGGAGAATAGTGATAGTGTGCTAATCCTGCACGTCTGGGGACATTAGCAAAACTCCGAGGGGCCCGCGCGAGTTAATAAACACTTTAAAATCACCCCCAATCTCTGCCAAACCGTATTTCAGCTTATTCCATTATCAACAGACAACGGATTGAAAAAATCAGTGAAACAATGAAAAGACATACAATTGCAAATAACCCACACAAAAATACTACAGTGGGCAGTTTATATGCTACAGTGTTTCTGAAATATATTATAGTAAAGTACTTAAATTATGTGTGGTACATGCTGTGGTAATGCAACAATGGTTAATGTATAAACAGACCTGTAGCCAGTTCTTTTTTTCTCAAAAAGTGGACCTTTTTGCAGTTATTCACTTCATTTTCTATTTAATTATGAGGTTTAAATACTTCATTTAGTGACATTTTAAGCACAATTTTTAGCTGGATTAGCTTGTTGGGATGGTCATCATAACCACACTTTTGATGTAGCAAGCTACTATTTCCTAAAGATTTAGAAGAAAGAAATATGAAGAAAACAAATACTGATTTTTAAAATACAAAGTTACATATAATAAATTAAAAACTGTAGCCTATTGTGTCCTTTATCAAGCACATCAACTTTCATCAGAAGTTGGCAGTTTGAATATTGAACGATTAAAACATATTAACATAATAATAATAATGTAGAGCTTGACGATTTTTCTCTCTTGTAAACATTTAAATATATGGATAACAACAATAGCCAAATTAGTAGTATAACTATGGACAGCTTTTGGTGCCTCACACTTCCCTGCTGAAAAAAAACAGCTTAGCCTAAACTGGTTGGGTGGTTTTAGCTGGTGGATCAGCATGGTTTTAGAGAGGTTTTGGCCATTTCCAGGCTAAATCAAGTCGAAACCAGCTAAAACCAGTGTGACTAACCTGGTTTAAGCTGGATGTAGCTGGTTTTGGCTGGACTCCCAAACTAGGTTAGTCAAATTTAGCTAATCATCTCCAAGCCTGACTAGATAAGACCAGGCTGGAAATGGCTGGAATCCAGCCTGGAATGGCCAAAACCCCCCTAAAACCTGGCTGGTTGACTAAGCTGTTTTTTCAGCAGGGTTATTGGACATTTTTTTTCCTTCAGGAATAAGGTTCAAGATTTAGAATAAAAGTTCCTTGTAAAATGTTTTCTCTACAATACAGTAGGTCTATATTGAAAGATAACTTCATCAGATTCTGTTTGATCTTAAAGCATTTTTATGGGTTATTTTGCCCAATTATGGTGGCTTAGTAAACAAAATAGGACAAATGAGCAAACATATGAAAGAAATTCTGGCTACGGGCTTGATAATTTAAACAAGATGTTGGTGTTTTTACAAACATTTTCTACAAATATGTAGCCTACAATACTGTAGTAAAAGCTAAAGTACACAAAAGTATACTAGCTGTGCATTGTATACAGTATTTATTACAGTTTATGAGTTTCCATATGATTAGCATTCATTAACAAGGAGTCGTAAATACTGTTACTGTATACAAATAAAAGGACTTTAACACTAGTGTTTTTCATGTGCAAATTTATGAAACAGACCATCAACAAATTGAATAGCTTATTGACCTAATAAAAATATCCTCAAAGGGAATTAAATAATCAAATTTAAAAAATAAAATGACAGCATAAAATAATTAAATCTTAGTTATTCGGTGAGCAGCAGTGAATGAGTTTATCATTTTCTTCTGTTCTGTAAGTAACCCAACAGACAAAACATAGATCCATATTGGATAGCATTTGATTAGTTGTCAAAGACATAAGTGAGTGTATTATTAAGCGATTTTGTGCATTTAAGCATAAAAATCTAATTCAAGATAAAAAAATTAAAGTACAACTCTACCAATATACCACCCCTCGCTATTAAACCATTTTTTGGGAGCTATAGGGTAATTCAGGGCTCTAAAAAACTGGCATACTTCAGTAGGCTATCAGTTTGATCACGTCAAACCAGTAACTGACAGACAACTGATGAACCTGTTATTTCTGAAGGGCAGCAGCCTACTAAATGAAAATAAATACAATAAAATAAACATATTTCACCAAAATAAGTAAAACAAATGGATATTTTCATCCTGTTTAAAAGTTTCCATCCCTCTGCAATGTGTTTCCTTCTTGTGAAATACATCTTTTTTATATAAAATATCTTAATTGAGACAGCACCAAATAAAATAAATAAATAATAACATGCAGTTTGATCTCTCTTAAGTTCAAATGATTCTCACCAATTCTGCAAGGGGCTCACAAACCTTCAAGCAGCACTGTATAGAATTTTTGACTTCGTTAATAGTGCCACCTAGTGGACATCAGCCATTGTGATCTCAGACCAGACTAGATTAAATATGTGCATTCGTGTCATATCTTTATTGTCTTGCCCCTGAGAAAGCATCATCTGTAAGAATGAATAGCTAATTCATGCAGTTATGCTGTATTTGATTGCACATATCGCTGAGAAATATGTTTTGAGAAGTACATGAATGAATTAACTTACACTTGAAGGGTTGTAAGTCCTGTTGTTGGACTGTTAATTCTTGATGATCTGAACGTGCCTATGTTAAGTCTGCTTAGTTAGTTATTGCATTGTTTTAATGTGCATTTTGCAGGGTTTCAAGCGTATTTCTATGTGAGCAAACTACAATTCTGTAAGAAGCATTTTTGTTTTGCTGATTTCACAAATTGGTTTTCGGTACAGAGGTCTGACTCTAAACTTTGCTTATGACCTTTTCTTGGGATTTGTTTATCTCTGTGTCAGAGAGCTGCAGAAAAACACAAGCTGAGGGCAGAAGCACAGTAGGTCTATCATGTTTGTGTGTGAGTGTTGAGCTGTGATAGGGATGGTGTGGCCATCAGATCGGCAAAAGTTAAACTGTACTCCTTTTTCTTTTTTGAGTAGCATTACAGAAACTGTAAACTGGTGTCAGCTGCTCAAAATGTTGCTTAAAACAAACATATGCTGGCTGAAGAGTTAGCGGTTCATTCTGTTGTGGCAACTACTTATAAATCAGGGATTAAGGCGAAGGAAAATTAATAAATGAATGAAAGGATGCTGGTTTAAGATTATTATTTTCTGGTTCATCTGACCTAAACTGGTCCTGACCAGCTTAAACCAGTCAAAACTCACCTTAGTTTTTTTTTCCAGCTGGGTAATGTATATCTATAGCACACCTACATCTGTAATAGAACTGTATAAATAAAAGTTCTCTTGAATAGGTTGTAAGCTTATTTTGAACAGCAGATGGGGCTGACTATGCTTTATGAAGAACAGCCATATTCTTTCAGTATTTATTCTTCAAATACTACTTGAACCTAAAATAATCATTTATAAGGTTAAGAAATGTTTACACAAATTACAAGAGTGTTTGTGAACTATGCTTACATTAATTAAATGACATCAAAGCCAACTCAGCCGAACACACAAGCACTCTTCCTAAAAAAACTAGCCTAGAGTGCCGTCTGTTGTTCAAAACTAGTCTAGAGCACCGTCTGCTGTTAGAAACTAGCCTAGAAAAACATTAAAAACTAGTCTAAAGTGACTGCCATAAAAATTGAGAGGGTGCTCGCTGCAGAGCCATTTGAGGAGAGGTGAGCTCCAGAGAGGGGGAGCATGAGCTGTCGCTCCTCCTCCTGTAAGCTGTTTTAATGCGTACACCAACCCCACCCCTAACCCTACCCCCAGTGACATCACTCGTAGAAGAAGTGCAAAAAAGGTGGAGCTCAAGCTTAAGCTCCCCCTCTCTGGAGCTCACCTCTCCTCAAATGGCTCTGCAGCGAGCACCACTTGTAAAAATTAGCCTCGAGTGCCATCTGCTGTTAAAAACCAGCCTAGCGCCGTCGGTGTTAAAAAACTAGCCTAGAGTGTAATTTGCTGTTAACTAGCCTAGAGCTGCGTCTGTTGTTAAAAACTAGCCTAGAGCAACTTCTGCTGTTATAAACAAACCTAGAGCATCGTATGCAGTTAGCCAGTCTGGTTTTAGAGGGGTTTTGGCCACTTCCAGGCTGGTTTCCAGCCATTTCCAGCCTGGTCTGGTCAGGCTGGAAAATGACCAGCTAAAACCAGCTAAAACCAGCTTGATCAGCCTGGCTTAAGCTGGACATAGCTGGTTTTGGCTGGGCTCCCAGCCTGGTTAGGCTAGGCTGGTCATCTCCCACCCTGACCAGCTAAGACCTTGCTGGAAATGGCTGGAAACCAGCCTGGAAATGGCCAAAACCACTCTAAAACCAGCCTGGTTGACCAGCTAAACCAGCCAACCAGCCTAGGCTTTGTTAAGCTTTTTTTTCCAGTAAGGATCCTGTTAGAAACTAGCCTAATGTGCCATTAAAAACTCGCCTAAAGCAAAGTCTGTTGTAAAAAAGCAAAAAAAATAGCCGAATGCCACCAGTGTGAAAAACTAGCCTAAAACGCTGTTTGCTGTTAGAAACTAGTCTAGAGCTGCATCTGCAGTTAAAAACTAGCCTATACTATTGTCTGCTGTTAGCCTGGAGCACGTCTGCTGTCAAAAACTAGCCTAGAGCACCTTCTGCTGTTATAAACTAGCCTAGACTAATGCTTGCTGTTAGCCTAGAGTGCCGTCTGCTGTAAAAAATTTAGCCTAGAGTCCCGTCTGCTGTAAAAAATTAGCATAGAGCGCCGTCTGCTGTAAAAAATTTAGCCTAGAGTCCCGTCTGCTGTAAAAAATTAGCATAGAGCGCCGTCTGCTGTAAAAAAAATTAGCCTAGAGTCCCATCTGCTGTAAAAAAAATTAGCCTAGAGTGCCGTCTGCTGTAAAAAAAATTAGCCTAGAGTGCCGTCTGCTGTAAAAAATTAGCCTAGAGTGCCGTCTGCTGAAAAAAAAAATTAGCCTAGAGTGCCGTCTGCTGTAAAAAAATTAGCACAGAGCGCCGTCTGCTGTAAAAAAATTAGCCTAGAGTGCCGTCTGCTGTAAAAAAATTAGCACAGAG